CAGTAAATTATCAGTTAATGATGCTCAATGTGTGACAGGAGTTTTCCTTATTAGGTGGAGTCACTTTCCCATAATCCAATTCATCCTTTTCTACTGTTATTGATTTCCTACATTTCCCAGAAGACCTTTCAAACCAGATGCTTTCATATGAAGTAACGACTGCTTTACCTCAATTTTAGAAACAATGTCAATGTGCAAAACTCCTGCAAAATGGGCTTCTGGAGCACCACTGTTGGTGTCAACTGACAAAACGGACAAACTGGAATAAGATGGACTTCTCTCAGTGCAAAACGACTTCAATTCTGACAATATGACACTAAAATCTGAGGGATAAGTTTCTTCATCTGCTTTGCAAATATCTTTGTGTCATGTCATTCAGAAATAAGAAAAGTGCAACAAAAGCAACAGAATTACTTTCATCACCGAGAGCTTTTCGTGTCTGAGAGCAGATCTTTACAAACAATGCACAAGCCTGAATTCTTGTGTGAAGTCTGTCGGAGGGTTTCAGCATGTGTCTCTACATGAATGTGTGGGCTTGAATGTCAGCACAATGTTTGTGGGTTTTGTGTCGAGTGTGTGTGTGTGTGTGTGTGTGTGTAAAGGTGAGGAGGGAAACCACAGCCAGGTAACATTTAGCGATGAGGATGAAATGCTTACCGACAACGAGCCCTGAAGAAGGGAAAATCTGAACAAACCGCAAAATACCACCACCCACACACACACGCACACACACACACACACACACACACACACACTGAACTGTTCTGCACTACAACACACTGAAAAGCACCTTCACAAGTAACATTCGTCCCAGCACTGATCTTTAATTCTATACTCTACACCTAAATATTAATCCTAAAGAACTGACGATCTGTAAAATGTAATGTTTGTAATAAAACACCAGCATGCACACAAGCACAATATCAGGGATGGATATCTGGGTCTGTGTCCAGCGGCCCATCGTCTCATAATGTCTTCTGTACAAAATGGTGCTAAAGCGAACAAGCTTAATGAGGAAACCGGACAAATGCAGCGTATACAAACAATAAATGCCCACAAGCAGCTAGAGACAGTGAGGTACAGTAGGAGATGCGTTGAGCTTCATAACTCTCTATTGACAAGTCCAGACATTCACATCAACCACAGCCTCATTCCAGCATGAAAGAACCTCAGCTTTGAGATCATGTGTCAGCACACAGACAGCTCATTAGTCAGAGGAAGTCAGCAGAAGTGAATGAATATGTCATGAATTTAAATGAAATAAGAACAGTATGAGGGTTGTCTGAGATGAGATGCGCTGTAGACAATTTAAAACCAGACGCTACTTTAAAAGATATCGAACTTGCAGAAGCTTTGCAGCAACGTTTTCTTTAAAACACACAGTTAATAGATGTTTACCAACGTGCAAAAGAACAACAGAGTAACTGAACAATGCAGCTTCCACTCACTTCTGCGCTGAGACGTTATCTGTGGGACCGCCTGCAGCAGGAGGATGCAGGTCTGCAGGGTCAATAACGACCACCTGCCGCATCGACGCATCCTTCAACTGTTTCTTAAAAAAAACAATTGTAATCCTTTCAGAGACTCGGAGTTGCGCTCATCTCCAGCGGACACTTTCTGCAGCTAGTGAGGAAAAACAAATCACTCTCACCGACCTCCTGTCTACCTGGAGGCTGGGTGCACCTTTACGCACAGCAGCGCAGCGCAGCGTGCTGATGTGCTCGGTGCCAAAGCTGGAGGGAACTTCCTGCGAGTTGTTTTCAAAGTAAAATCTCTACTGAGGAGCAGTTTCTGCAGCAACAAGGTCGAAATGGTAATAAATGGCAATTAAATAGTCTATATGGATTATTGCTTTATTAGTATTATATAATTTATTATTTGGGGGTTTGTAGTCACACTGAAAGCAATAATAGACGATTTAAAGTTCATTTAATTTGATTAAAAAGGACTATTGTGCCTGTTTTGAACTCTGGAGAAGCAGCATAATATAAGTAAAAATTTAAATATATAGTAAGTGTATAAATTCCTATGTCAGCACTAATTAAATTGATTATATTCATACCAATGGTAAAGAAAACGATTTTATCTTGAAACCTATATCCTAGCAGGACTGCCATCAATTAGCTCACAGTTGAGCCTCGAGGCTTCACATTTCAAATGACTTTATGAATTTTCACTAAACTTCCCCTCAGGCTGCACATGGCTGTTGAACTCACTGTGTCCAATCAGTGAACAGCAGAGTGGCAGCTGACACACATAAACAAGTTTAGTCTGCTCGCTTGAGCTGAAAAAATGGTGCTTTAATACATTTAGGTGTGTTTTAACCCCCCAATGACCCACCAGGTGTAATCAGCCTAACACCAAACACCTGCGTGAGCTGTGACCTCGTTAACGCATGCGCAGTAGAGAGGGAGACATGGCACATGACTGCTTTTATTCAGACAATTAAAGCCCGAGAATTAAGACTCCGTGTTTAAATTAACGGAGACTGAAAGCTGAAATTACCTCTTGTAGATACAGATGTTAACACTTCCAGTTGTTTTACAATCACATAAAGACGGTTTCAAAAGGCTTTTCTTTTAATATTTCACATTTGAGTCATAACAATGAGCTCCACCTTGAAGAGACTTTAATAAAAAGCAAAGATCAGTTTTTTTACAGCTTGGTATCAATAATCTTACTTAAATCAAACTGAGCAGACACTGTGTGGATGAAGACCCATAGTTTCAATAAACTTTATTGGAATTGTCACTGGAGAAAACCAGCCAAGGCTACTGAGTTTGTGGGCTTTATATCAGTAAATCCTCTAACGTGATCTAAAACAGAAGCTTTACCACATGAGAAGTCCAACCAGCCTTTATACCAGCGACAGTGAGAGCATCTGCATCGTAGACTCGGGCTGATGTAAGTTTTCCATGTGTTCAGACATGTTGGCCTTCAGTGTGGCACCTGTCTGTGGACTGAACACTGCATTCCTTAAAGAGAGAAAGGCTTCTCATGATGACAGACGCTCCAACACCAAATCTCCACACAGAACACACACAAATCCACCTTTTTAATAGAGAAAGCTGCACATTTCTGCACGGAATCAAGCAAAAGTTTGAGTTTTATTCATAAGGATTCCCCGACAAAAACAGGCAAGAAGCTGCTTTGATTTTTCCCCCACAGCTCAGCAGGCAGAAGGAAAGCGTAACAGGGTTTGTCAGAACATGTCCTCCCCAACTCCTGAACCATACGACTGAATAGGAAAATCCCTTTGACACATCTCTCCCTGTGGTGGTCCGGATCCCCGGCTGCCCATTTCACTGTTAATCCTGTGAGCACACGCAAAGATAAATCCACTTTTCGCCATCAGCTGTGTTTTCGAGGGGGCATGTGTCCACACACTCGCATGCTTCAAATTTAAATTCCATCCATCTTCCCTCTTTGCTCTCAGCTGTCAACGCTCAGGACGAGTCATCTCAAAAGGTAACACTTATGTTGTAAATGAGTGCAACACTGTCAACTCTGTCTGAGCGGGACACAATATGAGAGCTGTTGACAAGAAGAATAATGTGCTCGGTGTCTCTTTAACAGGTGAAGTCAAATATTCCACCAGCTCACAAACATCCTGATCCATCATGTTTAAGCTGTGAGATGCAAAACTTTGCTTTACACCAGGATTTGTTATCCAGGGATGCTCTTTTTTATCCTTTAATCATCAAACTAAAGGTTACATTTTGGGTGTTAAATACTGTACATATCTCTCCAAAGGTTCCAGTTCACACCCTCAAGGAGTTCCCAAGAGCCATGCTGCTAGCTCGACTGAAAACACATTTATTTTGGGGCTATGCACCATTTTAGCACACTATCACCTCACTGAATCTACCTTTTAACTAGATTTGGACTCAGGGGGCTCACTTCAGGACACAGCCTGAGGTTGAGGCAATGGTTCAGGCCTAAACTAAGTTTAAAGACGTGAGAACAGACATGGGAGATTTCAGAGTGCACCACTGTGAACAGATACTATCTTACTACTGTGAGTGAGGAAAGGCGTCAGAGACGAGCCATGCTGTTATATGATAGTGTATTGAGTGACGCTGTGACAATGGAGCACCTGTCCGTCAGGTGTGGTTTCACTTTTGTCTCGTTATAAACCGAGCTGGGACGCATGAGAGCCGCCTCGACATCCGACCCAGAGTTCTTTCAATGAGCAGTAAAAGTGATATTTAAAATATACTCATGAGCTGATATTAACACGTGAAGCTCATCTAGTTTTACTATTCACACTGGTAAACTTTTAAGTGCTGCTGATGGACAATATTCTCCCACAATGCAATGCACAAAGGAAGTAGAGGGGCTGATCAACACTGAGGAAATATATAAATAAATTGCGGTGAAACAGCTCCATATGGTATCACTTCATGTTAGTGTAAAGCAGTTACACATGTGGAAGTTCTTGTATACTAACTGCTACAAGTACACAGTGTACTGAAGTAGTATGTAGTATTGCTTTAAGACAGCTTCACAGTTCAACCTAAAACAAACCTCGTGCACACAGTCAGGAGAAAAGACTTCAGCATCACAAACAATAACAATAATCAAATTAAAATGATCTATCAGGATTCACAAATGAAGGTAAAGACTGTACATTCAAAACATCATTATCTACAATAGTCAATGTGTCGTCCATCTTTACAGTCCATGTAGTAGTCACATTAAAACACAGCTGCTTTAACTGTTAGTGTTATGATGCCCTCTGGTGGACAAAGAAGGAACGACATTAAAGATTATATACGACAGAAATTTGAATATTAATCATGGAACAAGTCATGCATTAGTGTTACTGTACTATGCTGTACCTGTGTGTATTGTGCATACAGCATATTTTAGATTTGTGGTCGTGTGATAACCCAAAACATACACAAGTTCATCGATATAGTGCCAACTCGGCAGAGTAAGTAACGCTGAATAAAGGTTGTGAGATAACTGACAATAAAAACATGATTTCTGCTTCATGATGCATTTCTGACTTTTCTTTAATAGTTTTAAAATGGTGAAACACTCGATAGTTTGACCTCTTAAGGCCTCTACAACCCATTTAATGAAACACTGAACACTTAAAATATATCTGTATTTTCCGGTTAATTTGTTGCAACAACTTCTTAGTCTCAGAAGCGGCATCATTTGCATATTAAATAATTTATGTGAGCATTTCCAGGTGCACAGATTCTACTCTTATGGGCTAGTATTGCCCAGAGAGCTGCCGTCCAATAAGCTAAACATAAAAAACGAGAACCAAGCACCAATAAATCTTAATAATTTTATTGTCTTTGTTCTCATGATTTTACAAATATGATACTTCTGCAATTCAACTTTAACTGTGCAACACAATGGCATTATGGACTGTTGAACGCGACGTCCCGAGGGACGTCTGTGACTCCAGGGAGCTGTGAATCCTGCAGACCGGCGGCCTCGTTGGATTTGTTTTAGTGTCGTCGCTTCGGGGCCGCTGGGGGTCTTTGTCCGCAGGATTCACTAGCAGCTTCAAATACACTATTTTTTACCACTGACGTAATGACGGCTAATGTCCGGGGGGAGCCGTGTCCCTCCCCTCCCCTGCCCTGCCCTCCCCCCTCCCCCACAGGTCACTCCTCGGACCTCAGTCTCTTTGGATGAGGCTGGTGGTACCCGGCCAGAGCTGCAGGGCTGCTTGTCTTTTTAACAATGGGTGATCTCGACACCGGTACAGATAAGAACAATGGCATGCAAGACTCACATACAGACCCACTTGGTATTATTTCTGTTCTTTTTTTTTTTTTAATAGAAAATAAAGATTCTGACATAAGTACAAGCACTGAGCCCTCGCAGACACCCAACAGCCAAGCGCACTGGAGACGCAACGGAGGACGAAGGACGCCTACACCGACAGAGCGTCGGGGGGGCCTGTGACCGACAACACAACAGCTGGCATCTTTTCATATTCAATAAGTCCTGTTTTGAGGACATAATACATCTCACATTTATATTAGTTCTTCTTCTACACCTTTTTACTACAAATGTATGTGCTTTTGATTTAACTGAAGAGCGTAGGTGTGGAGTTCACCCCACTCCGGCCGATTTATTGCAAATGAAGTGATAACCTCTGAACAGCAACACGCACTTCAATATGGCACAAGCATCTTAGAAATGCAGCGTGGTCGCCGTGGGTGAATATCAAAAACCTAACCACACCATATCTAAAAAATATTAAGACATTAATCATCAGTAGAGCAGAAAAGACTTTTTTCCCTCCTTGTCGAAACATGCAGTCTGCCGCGCTGCAAGCTAAACCAGATTCTGAACCTCTTGGTTAACAAAAATTAAATAAAAGTCTTAGTTTCAAACTTCTGTTATTCACGAGAGCTGCAGAGTCGGACTTCAACACCCAGGTCATTGTGCAACGGAGGATCTCTTTCCTCTCGCGTTCCAGGGCTGGATTCAAAGTGAAGCAACTCGCCGCTTTGAGTCAAACCTCAGACTATAGTTCAGATTATTAAACTTCAAAATGAAGCAGAGACTTGGGTTTAAAGCACTCGTCTTCTCTCGCTCTGCGCGTCACCTTAAGACATTTGATGTGCTTATCCTAGTGAATGTCAGCTTTTGGCACGCGCTCTGCTGAGGTACGGAAACTACAGTTTATCTCCCACGAGATTTTTTTTTAAATATATATATATATATATATATATATATATATATATAGAGATATATATAGAGAGGAGTAGTTGTCTGTGGAGTGTTAAGGAGAAAATGGACACATGAAGGCATTCTCCTGCAGCCCTTTCTCCGAAGGCGGCGACATGGAAACCCCGACTAAATCCTCTCAGCGGTCCACCTGCTCACCATTTATCCCACTACGAAATCCAAATAAATATTCTTTAAGATAAGGGCAAATTGGTAAAACAAAGTAAACCGAAGCAAAAATCAATGTAGTGGCCTCATAGTGTAACAGAAAACTCTCTAAATACAAGAAATCCATCACCGTCCAGTCCTCCTCAGTCGAATAAAGAAAGAAAGAAAGAAATATTAGAGGGGAGAATATGTCTAGAGTAGTGGTTGTTGTACAATGGCGCCTGTCGAGAGAGTGACCGGCATCAGTTTGTCATGTTGCAGCTTCATTAAAAAACTGCTTCTTCTTCCCCCGTCTCTCTGCTCTCTCTTCGCCCGGAGGTGATCATGCTCTGTCTGATCAAAGTCTTTGACCGTTAACCCTTGGCTCCCCTCTCTCCCCTCCCCCTCCCCATCAAACGCTCCTCCCGCTCCTCTTCCTCGTCCGCTCAGAGGGGGATTGTTCAGTCGGCGTAGTGCATGATAGACTCGACGTAGTTGCCGGGGAAGAGGCCCGTGGTCTCATTCATCACGCCCTCGTACCAGCCGTCGTCGTTCTTCTTGATCACGTAGATGATGGCGCCCTCCTGGAACGACAGCTCGTCCTCCTTGTCCCGAGCGTAGTCGTAGATGGCCACCACTGCAGGAACATAAGGGGGCGGAGAAGAGGAATTAAATCAGATCAAATGTGAGACAAATGCAGGTTTCTCCACATTCTAAACTTTGATTATACGTCTTCTCCTATTTCCAAATACGTCAGGCTACATTTTGAATGTATGAAATGATTGAGGGACCGGTGCAGCTCAGATATCCGTTCCAGTGAAGGCAGACCTTTCTCCATGTAGGTCTGTGGAGCCCAGGGCGGGTCCTCCTCGGCGTAGGGGTCACTGTACTCCACCACCGCCGACTCCTCCTCATCCTCCTCCTCCTCCTCTTCATCCTCGTAGTCCTCCGGCGGCGGAGGAGGAGGTGTAGGTTCCTCAAACACCGGCTCGTCGGCGGGCGGAGGCGGAGGCGGCACGTCTGAGACTGGAAATAGTTTTCAGGCAGGCGGGAAGAAAACAACCAGAACAAATCAGAAGCAAAGAAAGGAGCACGAAGACAATATCCTCATCATGCACGGAGAGAGGAACAAAGAGTCCATGCTGGGTGCACGTAGACATTCACATACTCACTCAGACACGACAGCAACTACACGTGCACCAACGGGATTCAACGTGCAGTAAAAGGAAATCAGGGTCATGATCATGCTCATGAGCAAACATGCTTCATATGATCTCTTCACACATATTAAAGTGTTTACACGTGATCAACCACCAACATTTGCTGCCAAAGGGACCAGAAGTTTTAGAAGATCTACCTTGATTTGTTACGACATACACGCATTAAGGTGGTGGCAGCAGATCTCTGACACAGCTGCTGTTGGAGGTTCATCACTTGTTCCACTAAAAGGCCGAATCACTGACTGACTGTCGGGGACTTGAAATGAACGGCAGTCATGCAGGAGGGGAGCGAGGGGCTAAAGGCCACTTACTCGTCTCCTGAACCCGGGCCACAAAGCCCATCAGAGGCAGCTGAGGGGTGATCTGCATTGAGGGGGGAGGGGGCGCGAGCGGGCCTGCTATCACTAAACAGCATCATTACACAGAGATGGAGGAAGACGAAGGGGAAGAGGACATTAGAATAACCAAGAGAAGAACAGGAGAGAGTTAATCATGACATTACGCCATGTAAACAATCTGTTTAGCAAAGAAATCTATGATTATCATCATCATCATCATCATCTATAATCCACCTACAGACATAAAAGATAAAGGACAGGCTCATGAACATATGAATACATCTACTGATTGTTATAAAACGTGAAATAATAAAGATTGTCCCAAAACGAAAGATAGCATCTTAAAAATATCGTTAATTTCAAATGATATAAAAAGAGAGAAAAGTTAATAAAACAATTAATATATAATCAAAATAACTACTCACTTAAGTCTAAATTAATCTGGACTAAAACATACTTTTCTCTCTTTTTATATTCTTTGAAATTAAAGATATTTTTTAAGACGCTACTTTGCATTCTGGGAAATTGCATTTAGCCATCAATGGTGAAAAAAACGAGTGATCATAACTACGATATGTTTATCTACCATGTCTTCAAACTTAGTATTTAAGAAAACTATAAAACTTATGTTAAAAATGATCCAAACTGTTGCCGTTACATTTTGTAAAAGTGAATATTTGCTGTTGTTATGACAGTAATATCTCAAACTCATAGACGTGACAGACGAGAGATCAGAGCAGCGGCGACAGAGAGAGCCGCTGACGTCGATTGAAGGAAATGAAGCTGATGAGAAATGACAGAAATATTTTCATAAAAGATGCAGAAACACGAGGAGGGAGTCAGGCTCCGGGGATCTGCTGCTGAAGTCTAAAGGCCGGGAGAGACGCTGGACTCACTCACAGCCTCGACTCTACCAACTGGAGCTGATACGACACCTTTGGGTTTTACATCTATATACAGAAAAATGGTTTTATATTTGACGTTGTATTTCCTCAATGTTTTGGCATAAATGTGAATATAATAATCGTAAGTTGTACCTTGGCTCTGGGCGAAGTGCGGCCCCCCGTTGAGCTGGCTCTGGGCCATGTTGGGCTGACCGGTGACGGACGCGGGTCGGCGGTACGGCAGCGAGCCTCCGACCTGCGAGTTTTGGGGCGGCGGCTGCGCCGGGCGGTTCATGCTGTAGAACTGAGCAGCACCTGCAGAGGGCAGCAGAGAGTCCATCAGGGTTTTACTTCCATAGAAAACACAGGCTTGGTTCAGAACAGTTTAGAGTTTAGCTCAGTGGTGATTCTTTGCAGAAACCATCACAAAACGGCAAAAAAAAAAATCGACTTTATATTTCCTAAATTCACTGCACATTAACAGCTAATTAACATATACAGCCACACAACAACAACAAAGAGCAGAATACACATGAATGAAGAATTCACTGTAAAGCATTTCAACACAGCTCATGCATTATACATCATCATCATCACACACACACACACACACACACAGGCAGCGGATGAGATGCTGTGAGGGATGAAGAGCAGCGGTGGAGTAAAAATGAAAAGCCCGAGGTAGTTGCACTCCCGTCAGAATATCCAGACTTCTGATAAATATTCTGGAGAGAAACGCTCTCCGTCGCCCTTTAAAGCTCGTTTTGAGCACTTCATTGTTTGGGGGAAAAGGTCGGGTAGGTGACAAAGACAGACTTTAAATGGAAAGCCTTCCTTTGAAATGCAGATAAGAGACAGTATCTTGTTTACCTTCCTCTCTGTACTCAAGATTGTATTTTCAAAATAAATGTACAAGGTGTGCAGGTATCTTGAAGCTCAATCTACCCACGCTGATGTTTATTAGGCTTTGTGCCTGAAAGCAGACCGTGAACCCCCTTTTCAGTCCACATCAGAGCTCCTTTAATAGCTTTTAGACCAGCTGGAACAAACCAAACAGATGAGGCGTAGAAGGAAATTACCTGACTTGGGGCATGACTAAGATTTGTTAATTATAAATAAAAATACTTTTAACTCAATTTCAGACCTTTTTTCCAAGAGAAACCGTCTCCCATCCCTACCCAGGCTGAGGACACATCTGGGTGTTGCAAGCACGAGGATGCATGTCAGGTGAGGTGGGATGGAGGGTGTGCAAGCTTCTCCCACCGGGTTACACTCACCTTGTGCAGGGTTGCCGAAAGCAACGGGGACCGTGCCAGTGGGGGCCGCAGAGGCAGGGAGCTGGGGAGGGGGCGGGGGTACAGGCGGGTTCTCTACAGGGGGGTTTGGGGCCTGTGGTGGGCCGTCTAGGGCCGTGGTAGGGGGTCCAGGAGTGGTGGCAGTGTTGGGGGGAGGTTTAGCTGGGTTGGATGGGACGGGGGCTGAACCGAGGGGATTGAAGAGGTAAAAAGGAGGGAGAGAAAAGACAAGTGAGGGAGGTCAAGACAAGATCAGAGTGAGAAGGGAGTAAAGGATTCCAGGAGATCCAGGGTTCCTACATTTAATGTCACACTGGAGCATGCAGGAATCCTGGATACTGAACAATATTAGTCAAGATAGTTAGTCTCTCACACACACACACACACACACACACACACACACACACACACACACACACACACACACACAGAGATCCTGCAGTCATCTGCTCGGGGAAGAAACAGGAAGCAGGCGTTACCTGGGAAGGCGTTGGGCGGGGCCGGGGTGGGCACCGCGATGGGCACGCCCACGCTGCCGCTGCCGCTGTTCTCTCGGCTGCTGCTGCGGCTGCTGCTCGGGTGGCTGCCTCCGCTGCTGCCACTGCTGGTGGTGAGTAGGGCAGCAAAGACGTCAGACCACAAACACACCGTGCACCTCTGTGGCCACATAGTTTTGCACTTAAAAAAACACCAGAAATCCTTTTGGAAAGAGTTAAATAGCATCATGCACAGACACCTTTAGTCCCACAGGTAAAGTTCCTGGGCCTCTGTGGCTAAAACACAAATCATTTACTTTAAATGCAGCTCAGTGAGAATCTTCACAAAATCAGTGGATCTGTGATATTGGTGTAAAACTCCTCGTTGCGCTTTCTAATCCTGGAGCCTGGAACAATATCTCACATTATTAGCGTGGCACCCTCAAGAGCATCGATGCGTTAGTGTGAGCCGCTATGCCTTTGAAATGTCACAGTGATAAAAAAATAATTTTAAAAAAGCAGCTGGAAGCCTCAGCAAGGACACATGACACGGTGACGCAGTAGCGACACAAGACAAAGACAAAGATCGGGACACACGAGGCAGACGTGTTGTACGACAGAAGAGAGATGAAGAAGATGAGCTGTGGATGGAGTGATGCAGATAAAGCCTGGCGCCCAGAGAGGAGAGTCAGGGGAAGCGTTTCTGGACCAGAAATATTAAAAACATTTGGCCAACAGATGGGGCGCAATGACGGAACGTGAATGTGTTTTTTTTTTAAGCTTTGACTTCCCCTCACGGCAGACGGAGACATCTATGAATACCTCCCGGGTTTTGGATGAAAGAGTCTCGTCTCGGGAGTTGAGCTGACAGGACTGTGGGGGCGACGCTGCCTCTGTAAGGACTTTACCAAAGGAACCCGTGTCTAGCCGAGCTAGTGCAGCTTTAAATCTCTACCTCGCCCTCTTTTCTTTGTCCCTGTCGGAGCAGCGAGGAGAGCACACAGGTGGGGGATTTCTAAATAAACCAGCTCCCTGGGGAGAAGGAACTGTGATTAAAAAAGCTGAATGTTGGTCAAACTTTAAGTGGAAGAATAAAAAAAAGGAGTAAAAGGCATGTTCACATGAGCTGGCTCGCATTTTAGGTGTAGGAGAGGAGAAGAAGAAAGGGGGAGGAGCTTTAAGAAGTGTAGAAAGGCATGCTGGGGAGGGGGAAGGGGGTACCTGTACGTGCGGCTCCTCTGATTAACGGATGCAGTGCGTGCAGGGCTCTGCTGGGGGTGCGCCATGTTGCGCGTCGGGCTCGAGACGTAGTCATTAGGGACAACGGGTGGACGCACCGGCTCAAGCGTCCTATAGGGGGAATGGCGCCTGCGAGAGGGTCAGGAGGACAGGAGGGGTACCCATAGAGAAGTGTAGGGGAGGGGGGGAGAGCAAGAAACAAACAAGTGCAAACTTAAAAAAATAGGGTATGACAGGTGGTGAACATTGGGGGGGGGGGGGGGGGGGGGGGGGGGGAGGGCCGGTGGATCCACAGGCGGCATGAGGACGACATACTGTCGCTGCTGTCGGCTACAAAACACAAATTAAATCAGTTGTTCCCAAAACTTAGATGTGTGTAGGTAAGATTGCAGGAGTTCAGTAAAGGTTGAGTCACTTTATCACCAAACTACCGTTAAATGAAACGTCCCCGAGCACGACTGAACTCATAACCTGCTAATGGAAAACATAGAACGTGTTTTATAACCCGACAGCAGCGCCACGTTGATGATGTACTCAGTTTAAAGTAAATGATGAAAAACAAATAAATAAAGGGAGTTGAATAACAGAAGACAAATCAAAAGTAAGATGTCTGCTCGGAGCCACCGGGCTTCATGGAGGGTTGGAGCTGAGGTGGATCGGCATGCCTCTTTAAAGGACGGACACACACACACACACCTTTGAAGGCCAACATGAAGGTGTGGACACACTCACAAACTCAAGAGACAGACACACAGAAACACAAACAGCACTTTGCCGCTGAAGAAGGTCCCAAGAGTGACAAGAAGATAACATTTAACACCCTGTGGAACAAGAAAGACCTTCAACAGTCACATGAAGAACATCTCCATCTTCAGGATCATGAGCTCTGACACAATACCAACCTCGTGTACCTTTCATTCTACCCTAAACGCTGTTCGTTTGTCTGTCAGACTCTACTAAGAAAGTGAAGCTTTCCATCGTGATACATTATCTTTGTGTGCAAGAAACTATAAGAGTCAGATTGCAGTTTGGAGAGAACAAACTGTCGACCCTCTCAGCAGCACGGATAAAGGAAATTAAATAAAGAATAGCACTGCGCTGAGAACGGGCACTGAAGTGGATGTTAAAGGACCCAAAGGACGGTAATTAAACAAGGAGGTAAAAGAGCCGATGATGAAACTGGGAGCAACCGGGCCCATCTGGAGGGCTCGTGGTTTCCAGCTACGGTCCTCTGACGGACAAACAACTCCATCTGGACACGCGGCACCGCTACATACCCAAGGGTCCCTTTCCCTGACATGGGCGGGCTGGGGGGCTTCTGTGTGGGGGGGTTTGTGCGAGGGAGTGCACCTCCTCCTCCTCCTCCGGCCTTCATGTTCTGAGCGCTGGCCTACAGGAGGAGAACATGGGGGTGGAAATGTGTCAGTTAACCCAAAAGGACTTCAGAGACAGGAACATGAAGACCTTCACAACATCGGCCGGTCTTTGAAGGAACTATTTGACACTTTGAGAATTTTATTTATTCACTTTCATGTCGATGCCACTCTCATAGCCGTGTGATCAAGATGGAGCTAACAGCTAGCCTGGCTCTGTCAAAAGGGAACAAAGTCCAAACACTAGCGCCTCTATAACTCACAAGTTATATCTTTGTTTAATCCACAAAACAAACATCTTAATAAGGTGCATTTCTGTAACCTTTGAACAGACCCAGGCTAGCTGTTTCCCTCCGTTTCCAGTCGTTATGCTAAGCTAAGCTAAATCTCTCCAGTGTCATGTTGGCAGAAATGAGAGTGGGATCGACCTCTCAACAACAAAAACAAATAAGTATAATTGGCAAAATGACAAACTAATCAGTTCAAACAAAACAAACACAAAACACCCTCTTTCGTTAGAGGCTCTTACTTTGAAAGTCTTACCTTAAACCTTAGCAACCACTGCAGTTGATTTTAAAGACAGAATTAGGTGAGCAGAAGGAGAAGAAGAAGAAATCAGAGGATTAGTGAGTGAAGGAAGAGAGAAAACAATCATTCATGCACGAGGCACAGAAGGCCATGCTGCTTAGATTCGGTCAACAATAGCTCAGTGTTCAAATCTGAGGAATTCCTTCTTTGAGACGTTTGGAAGGTTGAAACTACGGATTTGAGTTTCTGGAAAACAAGCTTCTCTTTGTTCAGAAAAATCAAAACTCGATCATTGTACAGGAAGCTGTTAGGTTTACAACGAGGGAGAATGTCCTGGGTGACATTAATATCCCAGCAAGCTGAAAAGTTATTGATTTTCTTCTTACATTACTCGTCACTGAAAGTCAATAGTGATTGTTTGACCGCTAAAAGTCCGTTGCATCCGATTCTCTGCCGTGAATAACCCACATCAATCCCTCTTTAAGCTCTCATCGCTCTGCAACTAACACATAAATGAGTTTCAAATGGAAAATGAAACCATTTTCAAACAATAATATGAAGTATTTTTGAAAGCCTGAGAAGGTAAAACATCTCAGTACTTCAAACCACCAGCTCTAGAACAACCTAAACTCTCCTTTTCAAAGACTGAGACTTCAAGTTAGTACGTTTCCTATTTTTTCCATTCCCAGCTGCAGCGGTGGTTCATCCACACAGATAAGACAAATCAAGATGGAAAAGAGCAAAAGGACCACCTTGACTCCGTGGCCCATGTCGTCGAGCATGCTGTAGTCGATGGGCTTGCGGATGTAGCGCACGGGCCTCTCCGGATTGGCCGGGGCGATGATCTTGTGCGTGCGGGACGTGTTCTTGTTGGTGGTGAGGATGCCGATCTCCCGCCGGGCCACCTTCTCTTTGTGGATGTCCACCGTCTGAGAACAAGAGGACGGGGTATAATCGTATTTTTGCCACTAACACGAATGGCTTGTTTAAATAAAGACTTGGTCTGTATTTTATGTGCATCAGTTGCCAACCTGTGAGATGTGGTTGATGGAGGACTCCATGCGACGGAGCTGCGAGGCCTGGATGTCGAGCATCTGGAGGACATTGTTGGCCAGTGTGTTGATCAGGTAGGCTACGCTGGCCAGAGACTGGGTAGTGTAGTTCTTTGTCTCCTCCAGCGCTCTCTCCTTGTCTGGAGACTGAAGAAAAGAAAAGAAACGTTTGCATTTAGCGATTAAACCTGCAACATTTGACCACAAGCTCTTTCTGACACCATACTCCTGCACGCGTGTAAAAATCATCCTTGGAGCAGATAGTTATGCATCTAAACAATTAAAGCGGACCCTGAATGCATTTTGTGGCAGCAGGAATGAGGGGAACTGCTGCATCAAAAGGTTTCAGTGCCAAGAAGTAACATTTTAAGTGACTTTACTGGAGCTGCAGCCAGTGTGGAAGCAGACTTCTGAGGCAGCGTGGGCATCAAGAGGCAGATGGATGTGCTTATGTTTCTGCAATGAAACGGTTCTTTACTGACACTGAATGTATCGCAGCTTGCAAGGCGGAGGTACAGATTACAAGTACACAATCATTTAAGTATAGTGCATCTATTTATGATAAATGCATTGCAAAAATCCAATTAAATAGCTTGTTCACACTTCTAAAATGTGAGGATTTGCAGCATTTATGCATTTGATGCGATAGGTAACTGACTATCTCCGGGCTGGTCTTTAAGCTCGTCTTAAGTTATAGATGATTTGATAATCTTCTGGTTTTGGACCAGTGGAAACGAGCCATACAACTGCATCGCAGCAGCAGATTGCTTTACACTCCAGGCCACAGCAATCTTTGGTTTAATATAGAATATCTTCTGTGTCTTTAGAAGATAAACTAAGTCATAATAATAATCTGATTTATTTTGGGCTGAAGTGACATTAAATAGTTATGAACCTGAATAAAGATAAAACATAATGAGAGGCAGCGCAATAAAGCGAAGGGTCGTCCTCACTAGTTGAAACAGCAGTGGTGACATGTCTATTCTCTTTTATATGATGCAAGATAATTCACAATCCAATATGACAAATCATCACACACACACGCACAGAGCATCCTTTAAAGGAGTGTGGAGGGTGCAGCACGTCTGGATCATGAAGACAAACAGGTTATGTGGCAAAAGTCAGGAGTGAAGCTGCAGCCTGCGGTGCAGAAAAGAGACATTCTTGATGTACTGGGCACACTCGCTAATAGACCGGTGATAGCATCTTTGGAAGGAGAAGATGGATGCATGGACCAGCAAGCTACTGGCCACAGAGATATTGTACATATGAGTGAGGTTAGTGGGTAAAGATAACGTAAAAGTCACCCTCTAACAGCCTGGTTGGTGACGTACTTCGTATTTCTGGGACCTGAATTACGGCTCGTGGTTCAACAGTATTTAATATTGATCGGTCACATGTGGCTGACCCTCTTAATAAGGTCAGTAGTGGCCCTGATATTGATCTAGCGGATCATATCGATGCATCCCTATTATAAAAATGATCATGTATTAAGAAAATACGACGTGGAAGTATTTACCTACATATAAGATGTTTAAAATGAGGAGAAATCAAACAATTGTTCTGTATTTACTAGCTGAAAAAGGTTTTTCTGTAATCCAAAATACATTAAAATCTTGGGAAGAAATCCATCCACATATTTCTTACTCAGAGTGGTTGAAAATAGTCTGTAAAGGCTCTGAATCCGACACCTTTTCTCACAAACACTCTGCAAACACACCTCACATCTGAATGAAACTAGCCGTCCTTACTCCTCAGGTGGTTATTGAAAGTAACTCTGGGAACAAAATATAACTCCTGGAAAGCACTAAGCACCAGACTAATACATCACTGTGACAATAAAAAGGTGGAATTTGAGTTTGCACACCTGCAACATGTGAAAAACACCTGGAAGAGTCAAAGAGCTGCAGAAAAACTCGTTTTGTGTGTCAAGATTATGAAAACCAGCTTCAACAATCCAACATGACTAATGCTAGCTGCCAACATCCAACCTGTCAGACCTGTTCAACATGTCACACTTCAGTATCACACCTTGTCAAAACCTCTCGCTGCCAACACTGTGCTCCCAAATTTCATTCCCTGTGGCAACAGGCCTGAGAAGTGATGGGATGAGACGAAGCTCCTGCTGCAAAAATTGCTCCCACCTGCAGAATACTACAAAGCCAAAAGCATCTGAATGGGATTGATTACATCCAAAAACACACGCAAATGCATCACATCTTGCACAGAAAATGCAACATCACACTGGCTTTTCCAACCTGAAGAGCAATGTATGAATGAAGCTGAGGAATCATAGCAATGCAGGCTTTAAATGGGGCATTTTTAATGGGTTAAAAAGCCATAAATCCCGTGTTTTATGGAGCTGTAACGTTAAAAGCAAGTCTCAGTGTTTCATATAAAACCTCTTTACATTAAGGTGGCAGCAAAAAGGCGAATTATTAATTGAAATGCCTTGACAGGGGGTTGTTTTTGCTTTAGCCGATGCTAGGCTAGCTAGCTTAGCTAACACCGCTGCATCACATCGACAGCGTTAGCTACAGCTAGCCTAGCATCGGTCCAACCGTGAGAAAAAAACACGACTAACACCATCTTTTCTTCAGCCTACCTGGACATAGTTGCTCTCGCAGTATTCCGCGACTCTTTCCAAATTAGTAAAACTGTCTAGTAGTGCGGTTCGTCCAGCTGGAATCTCCTCTTCCAGAAGCATTTGTAGCTCCGCCATTTTCACATCTTTAGCGGAGCGTTGTGTGTGTGTGCGTGGGGAGCGCCTCTCTTGCGCCACCGCGGCCGGAAGCGGTACTGCAGGAGTCCCTCCAGCAACTAGTGGAGAAATTAATAATGTTTAAAACAGAAATGCTTGATAGTGCACTCTTGCTTTTGTGAATATGTGGTTTGCAAAAAAGATTAAATGCAGTCACATTTTTTATCAGTTTTCATTATACTTTCTCTGGGAATTAAATACTTGTAATAAAACCGTTTATCTCCCTTCTTTTATCACTCCCTCTCCACAGACTCGGTTACAGAGCAGTAGGCGTGGCTCATGTGAGGAAACGGTCTTGCCCAAGGGCCCTTCAAAAGCACACGTACTAGCTGATAAAAGGGCATCTGAAATAATTAAGTCAATTAAAAATTTCTATCTGCAGGCTGAAACCGGATTTAGGAGGAGTGGCGCTCCTATTCCCCGCTGATACAAATTAAAAATTCTTTATTTGATGTCGGAAACTTGCTGGTTAGGGCAAATAAAATGAAAAGTATGACACAAAAACTCAACAAATCCTCAAACATATTTAATAATATGCGAGATGTGAGTGTGTAAAAAGGAATGAAATGTCTAAATGCCACATGGACCATATAAATGGACAAACAAGCCCCTGTTATTGGGGATTTTGACTCAAGGTATGCATCAGGAATTATAGAAAAACATTTGGCGGCACAAGTTGTTTTTCTCTACATCGTAGAGTATGAAACCACAACGTTTCCCTGACAAATCTGACCTGTGAACAGACAACGTGCTTAAGGCCTCAGATTATTGTACGTAAAACACGCCAAGAAGACAACTGGAGTGCTGTGTACATAAAAAACAATCTACCAGGTTAGGGAAAAGCATCTAAGAACAAAGCAAATTAAGAGTTTAATTCCAGAAAGTGTCATCTACCATAATGTTAAAAAAAGACAGGAGTTATTGAGAGAAATGAATTCTCTGGCAGTCAAGAAATACTTTGCTGGTAATTCCTTTAATGAAGATAAATTGTTCTCTAGATACTCGTCAGCTCTTCTTCCTGCAGAGGTTTTTTTAAAGATTAGCTTCTTCTGCTGACGGTGATCCAGGTTTCGTCCTTCGGTGTGGACACCAGCTCAGATCGGACCTCCATGACCTGTCCCTTCAACGGGTGAAGCTTCAGCTGGCGCACCAACGTGCTGAGCAGCACAGTCGCGACCGTGTAAGCGAACCTGTCAGAGAGACCAAATATCATCGATTGTTAACATATCATTGAAGTACGCAGGACATCCAAACACAGAGAGATAATCCTGATCCGTTGATCCGACTCTAGCCCCCAAAACAGAACGATCAAAGTCAAATTAGCTTCTTTTTACAGCTTCGGTATCACTTCTTTTCACTGTCAATGCTCTCATCATTAGCTCAGTCTACGCTCAGAGGAATACAGATGTTTTAATGTCAGTCTTCACCTGAGCTCTGGGCAGGTTTGATTCCCTGAGAACCCGAGCAGACAGAAGCTCCTCCCGACTGATTCCTCCTCAAATCGACCTGGATCAAACCTGAGGGATGTCACAGGAATCCGCTTATCAGAAATCGGACAAATCAATATTTTAAACCTGAAAGATAGACTCAAAAGTGTGTATGCAAAGTGGACCTGTATGGGGCGCTCCAGGTGTCAGAATCCTGCAGGACCACTCCCAAAGCGTAGATGACCAAAGTCTGAAATATGTAAAGAAAAAATAACTTTCTTGATCACCAGAATACTTCTTGTTACTCTTGTCAAGGCTTCTCTGGAGAGGAGCTGCAGAGACATAACCAGACACAGAGCCACAGACAGCAGGAAACCAGATACCTCTTTGGGGATGACGTGTTGATCCACTTTGCCCTCCACTCCCTGAAGCCGAGCCGCGACGGGGGTCAGCTTAGCAGTCCTCACTGTCTCGTTGAGGACCTGCTGGCAGTATCTTTCCAAGGCAGAAATGTGACAAGATTAATGGTATCGAACACAGACCCCGAGATTTTACATTTCATGTATTAGACGCAACACCTGTTCCAAAGTTCTTACCTGAGCTGAGGGATTTTGTCCAAAGAAACTGGGTCTGAACCCAAAACCTCCTCCAGCTCTTTGTACAGTTTGTCTTGAACTTCCTCTGAGGTGGACAGGAAGTAAAGTGCCCAGATACACACTGCCGAAACACAACATTTAACATTCAAGCCTCGGGGATTCATGAACAAAGGAGCTTTTTGGAGTTTGATTTCTTGTTCTAGGACACATAACGTATTTATGGACATGATGGTTTGATTGTTGTCACTTACAGTTGGCAGCGATGACGCATCCAGCCAGAGTGAAAACCATACAGTCCTCCATGATCTCAAACAAACAGAAAATAAATAATTTTACTGCTTTTTTTTGGGAACCGTGGCAATCTTTCAGTTGCCGTTTGAACTTGGTGACTTCATGAGTATTCACCTGTCGTTCTGTGAGGCTGGACTGAAGCAGAGTGTCTACAAACGCCATCTGCTTCCTCTGTGCTTTCCTCTCCTTCGCCACTGACAGCAGCATGGACTCCATCTCCGACAGAGCTGAACAAAAAAAAGTCAATCAGTTACTTTTTCACATTTTTGGCATGAACACACAGCTGACTGACACTCAAGTTAAAAAGAGAGAATTTCAAGCATGCATCTCGCTTTCCAGCCCTTTAGGCAGCTTCCAGAATGAACTCCAGCAAGTACCAAGTCCCAGCAACAGTTGTCCCGGGCAGATAAATCAATAAAAGTCCAGCTAAACAGTGTTCACTGTTCAAGTTAATGATACTGAAAGAGTTGGTTATGCACAGTCTTTATCTGCTCTCAGACTCGGTATCGAGCCGTCTGTCGTGCTGCTGCACAAACACAAAGGGATCACGTCTGAGCCTCTGCAAACTCTTCCTCCTGTTTCTCCACAGCTGAAACCACAATGAAGCCCAACGCTGCTCCCACATGTTAACACACAGCAGGTGCAGGAGATCCAAGACCAGAACCAGAGTCACTAGACTCAAAAAATGACAGACGGTAGTTCCATCCATCCATTTTCCACCGCTTATCCGGGGTCGGGTCGCGGTGGCAGCAGGTCAAGCAGGCTGACCCAGACCTCCCTCTCACCGGCAACATGTTCCAGCTCATTCTGGGGGATCCCGAGGCGTTCCCAGGCCAGCTGGGAGATGTAATCCCTCCAGCGTGTTCTGGGTCTTCCCCGGGGTCTCTTCCCAGTTGGACGTGCCTGGAAAACCTCCAGTGGGAGGCGTCCAGGAGGCATCCTAATTAGATGCCCGAACCACCTCAGCTGACTTCTTTCGACGCGAAGGAGTAGCGGCTCTACTCCAAGCTCCCTCCTGATGACCGAGCTCCTTACCCTATCTCTAAGGCTGAGCCCGGCCACCCTACGGAGGAAACTCATTTCGGCCGCTTGTAGCCGCGACCGACGGTAGTTCAACAATTCAACCTATATTACGTCAGCTCATGATGCAAACCTCCCTCACCCTTCTCATAATGTCCTTTTCTGCTGGAGCTCTTCTCCAGGGAGCCGTCCAAGTAGCCTTTTCCGATTTCTGACCAGATCTGGTGAGTTGGAAGAACAGAAAAACAAGATCAAGTGACCCGTTTCAGCAGAACGTAAGCAGGCCAGGTTACTGGAGTATTTCTAATTCCCATTGAACTCAACAAACATGTAAGAAGACAGTGATTGTAGAAGATTTTGACACCCACAGGGGGAGAGAAAAAGACCAGAATGCACAAAACTAATTGAGGTTTGTGTAAGAAGTACACTCCACTGTCACTGTGGGTCTCGTCCTGAAGGTAGGGGGTGTTCTCTCACCGCGTCGTGGTTCTTGCGGAAGGAAAGGACCGTAGAGTCGTCTCCGAAGCTCTCGCCCAGAGCCAGCTGGGTGACGGTCTTCATGGCCAGACCCAGCAGGTGGGCGCACAGCGGGGTGTGCTGAGACTCCGGGAATGACTTCCACTTTCCCACCAGCTCCTCCACCAGCTACGCATGAGAAGAAGGATTCGGAAATACGTCAGAATGCTTCATTTCAGTGAGTAGTGTGATGAATGTTTTCATGAGAGATACAAACCTTGAGCACAACAGGGAAGTTGCTCTTCAGCGTGTTGTTGATGGCGTTCTCGTACACCTTTTTCCTTATTACCGTCTCAGTGGCCCCGCCTCCCATTCCCGACTGGTACCCTAGCAAAGACTTCAGCATCGTCTCAAAGGAGTCAGCTAAGAAGAGAAAAATTTTTTATTTCTGTCTACGACACAGACATGCCTCCATTCAGTTTGGCAGTAGTAGAATCAAGGCAGCATGGTAAACGCTGGTGCACGTACTGGTGTGGTTGGGGTTGATGTGTTGCCGTAGCTGGTGCACAGAGCCCAGGCTGACCACCGGCCGTCCGCCGAACCAGAACGACGCCACGGACCCAAACCGCTGATGCAGACTGACGAGGAACTCGTGCAGACTGCCTCTGTTCACGATGTCCTGCAGGTTCCCATCCCTGAGAGAGCAATGATTTGAGTATTATGTAATCGCCAATGTGCTGCACATCTGGAAAACGGTTACAATCAATCACATACATTAAACATCCTTCATGTTGAAGGACAGTCATCCTGCCATTTCATTTGTTTTGATATAATTGTTAGGTCAGAGGTGAAGATGACAACTTACTTCTCATCTGTAGGATTGAGACCTGGGATGCCAGAGGCCCTTCTGGATGACTGAAAAAAATGATTAGAGATTGAATTTATTTCTACATTTTTCACAATATGGACAAGACAATGTAGTGTACTTCCTACACAGCCATGCACGCACATCTCCTGTCTTCTCTGATAGGTTGGTTCGTGTTCCACTCAGTAGAATCACATTGAAATACACGTTAATTCAATACTTCCTCACTTACAGGGTCACATATTGCATGACCCCAACATTGTCATCTGACACATTCTTAAGGTTTTGGGGTAAAATCGGGATGCAAATGATGAGAAAAGTTTGAATAAATGAACAGTCTTTTGTGAGGATATTGGCGTACCAAATGCTAATTTAACGCTAACTTCTGCAGAGACTTACCGGGTACAAGTACAACACAGCGCCCACCAATATGATGACAAACGTCACGGCAAAGATGGCAAAGTCCAGCATGACTTCTCGCTTTTATTTGGCACGACTTTGCAAACTTCTGCTCATGAATATCTGTATAACAAGTCTCCTTTACCACGTCAACAGAAACTGTGCGAGCAGGATTGCCACTCTGTGATCGACTACAAGGTCTGGATCGCAGGCAGAGCAAACTTGTTGAACTCAGAAGGAATCGATGGGTTAGATCGATTCTCCAAGGTAGTAAACATAAATCAATGATATTAAAACAATAAAAACGTATCTACAATTATGCATATAATTATTGTATCTAATTACGATGTACGGGAGTAATACATAGGAGATATAAATATACTATTAAGTATGATAAGAACACATCCACCTTATAAATTAAAATTGCGCATAAGCACATCATTCCTTTAGTATGTAATAAAGAGGTGTTGTTGGATTTGTTGGATGAATATTTATAAAGAGACGAGCACATTCACGTTTCAAAAATACAAAAGTAATCTACAATACATTCAGAGTTCACTGCCTAGAATACAGTACAAAAATATGTGCAAAATGACATCAAAGCTATAAAGTATGTGTCAGAGCAGATGTAGAGATTTTCCTCAGGCGGTCATCTCTGATTGGTCCTCTGGATTTTGAGGTTCAATCTTCATGGTTTCCAGATACTCTGAAGAGGAAGGACAAGATAATGAAAACATGTTTCTTGCTTTAAAAAATGTTTCAAGCTGGATTTGCAGTATTCAACACGGACTCTTCTCTCTCACCGTGAGTGTAGTCTGTTTCTGGTCGGGTGGCGATGAAGACCCAGGCCAGCCCCACCAGCAGAGCCACCACCAGGTTGACAGTCACCCATGGGTGCAGAATCTGGTGCTCCAACCCCGGTGGCCTGGAGGAGAAAAAGGAGAGTGTCATGTATCATATTCAAAGTAAGATAGAAACATCAAATGAGTCCAGCGAGCTCACCATAACGTAGTGTTGAGGGCTGGATACAGGTTGATTCGATCGCTGGTCATCTGCTGGCTCAGCGAGAGGACCAACGCTGAGAAATACACTGAACGGAAGACAAACAAAGCGTGTGAAGTGACACCGAACACCTCGTTTAAGCGTACTGTGGTGGTAATAAATAGTGTGCACTCACAGAACGAGGCGAGAGCGACGGGGTTCAGTGTGATGAACGCGTGGAGAGCCGTGGAGCTTTTGGCCAGGTTCACTCTGAAAATATACAAAAGTTAATCTTTTTCAGCTTCTGTTCATACTTTTACACACAAATACATTTTACTCAGCAGCTTCACTGGAAGTTTTATTTGCATTAAAAACATTGATTTATTTGCATGTACATTTCCATCAATTCCACGTGTAACGCTGGAACTTTATCCAAAAAATATCAAGTCCTTTAGACTTAGATTTGGTTGTTTATGCACATGTCTCGTCTAAAGTTCCATACTATATTTGGATCAATCATTTTCAAAATGCAAGCTTTTAAATTACAAAGTGTTGCCTCAACTTAACTACACAGGTAAGGCAGCAAAGTGTCTCCGGTGACATGTTATCAGCATGTTGGCAAATACAGTGGAAGTTCTTTAAATACTTGTTGTATATTTTTGATCGTGGTTAACCAATCGGCTGGCTCGGGGAGCTTTACCTGTCGAAGGCGGCCACCGTGCTGATGGCAAGCAGCATGTAGAGCAGGGACTGGGCGGGGTAAGCCAGGCTGTGGTAGTGCTCTAGCAGGTTGGACAGAGCGGTCAGGTGCTGCCCGGCTAATATGTACACCACCACGATGTTCCACAAGGCGTAGCCCGCCAGGAAGCCGTGGCAATACAGACCGAACACCCTGCACCACATACAAAGGAGAGCAGACATTTAGGGAGGGGGGACCAAACAATCAGACATACCTGGCACTGTACGAGACACATCTCCTTCACCTGAAGCCTGCGTGCACTCTGAGAGACACGTCTCTGGTGTTCCAGAGCGGCTGAATGTGCTGGAAGTCTGTCATGTTGTCCATCTGGTCGCTGGTCTTCCTCCAGTCTGAGCGCTCAGCAGCCTGGAAACGCTCTGACGGGAACACACAAGAGTTACCGCTTTATCTTCTCAACGGGCTCGACCACATCTTCTTCTGTCGTCACTCACTGTTCCTCTCGACAAAGACTTTCCCCACCGGCTGGCTCTGACCCGGCGGGGCCGAGAACAGGGAATGCTGGGGGATCGGAGGAGGGGTGTCGGTGATGATGTCGTCCTCTTCTACGTCCAACTCATTGGGAAGCTGCGATTCAACAACTTTTGACTTCCTGAAAGTACAAGAAGAAAGATTGAAGAGAAACATGCACCATTTGCAGTACATATGCTAGTATAAGTTCTTCTGAGGTTTTATACAACATATCATGAGATAACTCCACTAATTGTTTTTTCTTACCTTCTCTTTTTGTGTTTTTTGACCACTTCTTCTCCATCAGTGGTCTGATCCGCTGTATCTCCGTTCACCAGGTCGGCCTGATCATCGTCCAGATCTGAAACCATGAATTCACACATCTGTAAACGTCACGTTGAACCTCTGGGCTGGTCGTAGTTACCAAAGCACAGATTGGCCATAATGGCTGTTTTAAGGACACTTTTTTCTTTACCAATAGTGGCTGCTTTCTTTTTCTTCCTCCTCCTCTGAGGCGGTGCGTCCATTGTGGGTTCAACGGTAAGTTGCTCTCCAATCTCCGATTCCCTCCGGCTGCCCAGGCCTCCCATCTCCATCCCATGATCTAAACAGGAAACAGCAGAAGGAACGAAGAAACTTTAGCACAACTGAAACGAGTCCCTTGCAGCAGTACATGTTCTTAACGTGATGCGTTTAAGCTTTGTGTGGGACAAACACAACCACTTAAGATGCTGCACTGATGCATTTATGCGTTACGTACCGCTCAAATCATCGACTCCATTCGTCTCCTTTCTCACCCTCTTCTTCTTTTGTTTTATTGCTGGTACTTCTCCTGTACAAGGTGATGAATAAATAAAGTTAAATTGAATCAAGAGCTTCAGTAAAAACACGAGATGTATTCGTCTCACCAGCTGTGTCTTGACTTCATGTTTCCACACAAGAGAGAAAAAGAAAGACTGTTTGACTGTTCAACGTAAATTCTGTAGATTAAGACGTTAAATCACAGCAGAAAAACACTTTGACCGACCTCGGCATCGTGGGAAGCGCTCGTCCTCGCTAAGAGACAAAAAGAGAAGCACGATAGGACTTAGACTTATTTACAAAGTGCATGAATTTATTTATATTTTTTGTCAGCACCTCCAAACAGTATATAACAATAATTCAATCCAATCAAACGAAGCATAAACACATAAACAAATTACCTGACCTCAGACACAGGGACCCCAAAGGAAAGGTTTAAAACGTACACAAACATTGTGTGAGCTGTTCAGCGTCCAGTCAGATAAAACAAGACCTTACCGTCGTCTTTCTGGCCATTCCACCCAAGGATCAAGTAAAGAGTGGCGAGCAGCTCCACATAACAACCCGTTAAATCCTCAGCTAAATCTGTGATCATTCATCCGCCAGGACTGAGGATTACTCAGGGCAGAGGTCAGACCACGCAAACCTTTTCTATCTCTTGTGTGGCTGGAATAAAGACGTCTGTCTGTGGTGTCTGGGTTCATCCTCCTTATAAACACCAACAGTGCTCACTCTGCTTTATTCTCCCTACATGCACTCACACAACTCTTCTAAGGAACTTTTTAACTACATGTTAGGTTGATTACTTTAGTTGAGACGTGATTTTAATGATATATCAGAGAGGTCGAGCCCTAAACATTTGTTTAATGATCAGATTATCTGTTGCCAACTTTCTCAATTAAGTTTTTTAATATAAAAATAGTGAAATTGCTTGTTTTGTCTGACTGTAAAACAGAGAATAGTGAATCTGAAATTAAATTTGTGATGAAATTAGTAGTTTAATCAACGGAAAAAGTATATTCTCCAACTTGTATTAATATAACATTGAACATACACCGTGAGGTTAATAACAACTGGAGTTAAATTAGTTACCTGTGGAAGCGGCGGGAGCTCCCTGGGTCGCATTTTCTATAAAGGATAAACATGAATTGATATTAATATTAATGTAAAATCAAAGTACCGTTATACAGTAGGTACGGAAAGTATTCAGACCCCTTTAAATGTTTCACTCTTTGTTTCATTGCAGCCATTTGCTAAAATCAAAAAAGTTCATTTTATTTCTGATTAATGTACACTCAGCACCTCATATTATACCAGAAACTCATATTTAACTCACATGCTGTCCATTTCTTCTGATCCTCCTTGAGATGGTTCTACTCCTTCATTGGAGTCCAGCTGTGTTTAATTAAACTGATTGGACTTGATTAGGAAAGGCACACACCTGTCTATATAAGACCTTACAGCTCACAGTGCATGTCAGAGCAAATGAGAATCATGAGGTCGAAGGAACTGCCCAAGGAGCTCAGAGACAGAATTGTGGCAAGGCACAGATCTGGCCAAGGTTACAAAAGAATTTCTGCAGCACTCAAGGTTCCTAAGAGCACAGTGGCCTCCATAATCCTTAAATGGAAGAAGTTTGGGACGACCAGAACTCTTCCTAGACCTGGCCGTCCAGCCAAACTGAGCAATCGTGGAAGAAGAGCCTTGGTGAGAGAGGTAAAGAAGAACCCACAGATCACTGTGGCTGAGCTCCAGAGATGCAGTAGGGAGATGGGAGAAAGTTCCACAAAATCAACTATCACTGCAGCCCTCCACCAGTCGGAGCTTTATGGCAGAGTGGCCCGACGGAAGCCTCTCCTCAGTGCAAGACATATGAAAGCCCGCATAGCCCGCACAGACTATGAGAAATAAGATGCTCTGGTCTGATGAGACCAAGATTGAACTTTTTGGCGTTAATTCTAAGCGGTATGTGTGGCGAAAACCAGGCACTGCTCATCACCTGCCCAATACAATCCCAACAGTGAAACATGGTGGTGGCAGCATCATGCTATGGGGGTGTTTTTCAGCTGCAGGGACAGGACGACTGGTTGCAATTGAAGGAAAGATGAATGCGGCCAAGTACAGAGATATCCTGGAAGAAAACCTCTTCCAGAGTACTCTGGACCTCTGACTGGGCCGAAGGTTCACCTTCCAACAAGACAATGACCCTAAGCACACAGCTAAAATAACAAAGGAGTGGCTTCGGAACAACTCTGTGACCATTCTTGACTGGCCCTGCCAGAGCCCCGACCTAAACCCAATTGAGCATCTCTGGAGAGACCTGAAAATGGCTGTTCACCATCCAACCTGACGGAACTGGAGAGGATCGGCAAGGAAGAATGGCAGAGGATCCCCAAATCCAGGTGTGAAAAACTTGTTGCATCATTCCCAAGAAGACTCATGGCTGTACTAGCTCAAAAGGGTGCTTCTACTCAATACTGAGCAAAGGGTCTGAATACTTATGACCATGTGATATTTCAGTTTTTCTTTTTTAATAAATTTGCAAAAATTTCTATTTTTTTCTGTCAAGATGGGGTGCTGAGTGTACATTAATGAGAAATAAAATGAACTTTTTTGATTTTAGCAAATGGCTGCAATGAAACAGAGTGAAAAATTTAAAGGGGTCTGAATACTTTCCGTACCCACTGTATATGAACATAACTTAACGTTACCTTTGAGCCTCCCGTATCCATACTATTCAATTTCTCCAACAAAAGCGCCTTTAAATATTCGTCCAGTTAAATAATCTTTAGTTGATACGTATATTTAAACGACTACAGCCGTCAAAAACGAGTAAACTCTATTATAATCATTTAGTTTGTTTATGCTCTGCGAGCGGAAAGGTTTTACCCGGGTGCATTTAAGCGAAGGACACAAGACTTCCTGTATCTTCAAAATAAAAGCTCCTATTCAAAGCAACCAAACATAATTAAATTTCGTGAGTTAATGAATAATTAACTATCAGAAGTGGTTTATTAATGTAACAATCAGGCACAACTATACAATTATCAATCCTTTGCTCGCAATTTTGCATTTTATCAAAATTTCTAAGGAAATAAGAACAAAGTGTAGATTAAATACTTTGTTTACGCTCTGCGAGCAGTTTTACGCGGATGCATTTAAGCGTAGGACACAATACTTCCTGTCTTCAAAATAAAAGCTCCCATACAAAGAAACCAAACATGAATAAACTTAGTAAGTTATTGAATAATTAACTATCAGAAGTGGTTTATTAATGTAACAAACAGGTACAAATATTAAATCAACGCTTTGCTTGCACTTTTGCACATCACATTATTTTTCATGTAATAAGGACACAAAGTGTAATTTTTGTGCCAAACATTTGTTTTTGTTAATGGTTAGTAAATCTTTTTTTTTTGGCATGCAATGAAATATTTTAGGCTATAGCAAACCACACAAATTAATTACACAAATTCAGCATGAAAAACAAAATGTATAACAAGAAACCACTTTGCTTTCTAGCATGTAAACATCATCTTCTTTATTGCAGGCCTGTGTAAAAGAGAAGGGAGCAGGGAAAGAATGATCTGCCTATAATAATAAAAACAATACATAGTAAACGTAAACAATTCCAGGTATTTCTTTGAGCTCCAGCTCCATATTTATCTAGTAATCAGGTGAAGTCACAACAAGATCAACATATTTAGATTTCTTTCACACCCTACCCCCCTATATTTTACATGTTAAGTCTTCACAGTGAGAAATCTGTAAAATGAAAATGACAATAATTGCTGCCATGATAATATGGGGTGACATTTCTCTCGTCCTCTTCGCCTCCACCCTCGTCTTACGTGGTTGTGGGTCGTATCCAGCTGGCAGGGACCCACTGAGGCTCGTCCTGCGCCCTCCTCATCGCGGTCAGCAGCTGGACGCAGGAGTCCTGCAGCTCATCGTTGACGATCACGTGGTCAAAGAACTGCGAGAAGTGAGACTCCATCTTCCGGGCGGCTTCTTCCATCTCCTGGAAGTCTTCCTCCTGTTGGAGGGAACAAAAGTCAAAAGGGACGATTTCTAATCGGTGACCGAATCCCTTTTTTTTATGTTACGTTATAATTTCTTTATCCCATTAATTTTTCCTTTCATCTGATCTGTTTTATATTGATTCAAACACACTTGTTATCTATTATCTGTTTTTAAAATTCAATAAAGTTTGATTGACGCTGTGAAACTCCTGGAGGAGTTTACTTTGAAAGGTCGGTTGATGTAGTAGTTGGTGGTGATGTACGAGTCCTGTCTCGTCTCCTTGAGGCGCTCCTGTGACGGCGGCTTCACGTAGACGATGTAAGCCCTCAGCTCGTGGGTCCTCACTGCCTGAATGGCCTAAATGAAGAGATGAAACATTTAAAATTAAAGCTTTTGTGTGCAGCATTTTATGAAAGCGATTAGAAGCACAAAAACTACTGGTTGGTGGTGTTTTGAAGAGGACGACGATGTCTCTGCTGCTCTTACATTTGGATCGATGTCCATGATGCAGATCTTCCCGCTGTTTAAAACTTGCCTCACAGACTCGATGCTGGTGCCGTACAGATTCCCTTTGTACTCTCCGTACTCCAGAAACCTACACCACATCATTAGTTTTACTCAAACACAAAGGAGTTACTAGTACTTGATGCTTAAACATTCATTGTTCATAAATGAATAAAAATAAAACAGCTCATAAATACGTTGTTATATTTAGTAACAGAGCATGAACACATTGTGTTCAGTGTGTCAGTGTCTCCACTACATTCCTGATCCATGGCTTCACAGCAGAGGCAGCGGTACCTGTTGTTGTACACCATGTTGTCAAAGGTTTCTCTGCTGGTGAAGTAATATTCTCTGCCAGACTCCTCGTATCCTTTGGCCGCTCTTGAAGTGTCTGGTGAAGGAAAATATGTGACTGCTTGAGACGGACAATCACTTAAACGCCAACAAAAGATCATCACGCAAACTAATTCACATCATTTAGTCGATTGTAAATTCGGAGGATGAAAATGATTTGTACGTACGAGGCACGGCTCCCTGAAAGATGTTGGGGTTCATTTCAATCAAGCGCCTCCGAAGTTCATTCACACCCACACCGGACGGACCTGAGATGATAAATTAAATAGTTTTTAATGTATAAACACGTTTGGTAAGAAAGACAAGTCATGTTAAACTATCAGACTGGTTGGATAGTCCACTATGAGACCGTAACAACTGTACCTAAGAGGGCGATGAGGCGGTGTGCGTCCTGCGGGTGGCGCGCATAGCGCGCCACGTCCTCGTAGGGGCTGTTGAGGGTGTTTGAGCAGCTGCTGGGGCAGCGGGTGTGGTAGGACGGCTGGGTGGTGCTGTGAGACCCCCGCCGACACAGACGGGTGCTGCGCCTGAAGCCCGCTGACAGAACACTCAAAGTTAATGTTTGACAAATTACCCACAATGTGTGTAGTAATTGTGCAAACTCTGATATGGAACATAACAGATATCAGAGCAGGTAAGAGTCACATCGTTGCAGAGACTTACCTAAGTAGATCCCTTCAGCGTTGCTGCAGAAGTCATCCTCCTCTGGTTGAAGAGAAGCAGAGCGGAACATGTGAGAGCAGATGGAAGAATAAGATACTAGAAAATATTCTTGATTACAGGAAAACCTGCTGCAGCTTCTGAACCGTCTTTTCATTACAATAAAAGGAAGAATTAACAGCAGAGCCAGTGTCTATCCTACATCTCCCACAATGCAATGGACCAGGTTTGAAAGCACTTGTGCATTTTAGCGAGTTGACTCTTCTCAGGCAGATAAAACTACAAACGTCTGAGGTGTTCTCACCTTCTCTGAGCTCCTCTGACATTCCCCCGTCAGACAGCCGGAGAGTTTGGAAAAGAAACAATGACAGATGTTTCAGATGAAGGACGGAGACGGAGTGACACAGAATACAGACCACACAAAGTCAACAAAGACTTACCTACCAGATTCAAATGCCTCCTCGTCTGACAGAAGTGAAACAACACAAGTTAATCACAAAGCAGCAAAGACATGCAGCAAGTTTGTGTGCGACAGATTATACGGAGCTTTACCTGCTTCGACACATTTCTCATCAAAGGTCATCATGTCTTCCTCTGTGGGTGAAAAAAGGAGAATTATATCTGTAACACAACATGTAAATCATGTAGTTTCAGAGCTAAATGAGGTGTAATCTCCTTACCTTCCTCTACAGTGCTCACTTCAGTAAGAGTGGGATGAAACACAACAAAACCCAAATGTGAAACCAGGTTGCGGAGAGGCTGTGATTCTGAAACTGCTACGACTTTTGAGTTAAAGAAAATGTCGGTGAACTTACAGGTCTGTGTGCAGGCATGTGGATGATAAGGCTGAGACCACCAGACCTCCCTCTGCTTCCTGTTACAACAGATTACAGTTTAAATGACACCAAGTTACATCCCAGTAAATAAGAGAAGCAGTGAACCCTCCTGACCGTTTCAGCAGGTTGGAGGAGGGGATGAGGCCGGCGCAGGCCGTGTTGCTGGGCAGTTTCTTGGCCTGCCACCAGAGGGCGTCCGTCTGGTCCACGATCTCCAGGACGTCACCTTTCCTGAAGCTCATACCGGCGTCGGCGCAGGGGATGGCCGTGTCCTGCTGGGGGCTGTAGTCGACCATGGTCCTCACGTAGAGCTAACACCAGAGACGTTCGGTTAACACGATGCAGGCGGAGGTGTGTTAATGTGTGTATCGAGGAGGATTTACCATCGTCTGGTTGTGGACCGGCCTTTCTGTGATGGGAATAACCTTAAACATGATGGTGCCCCGCGACCTCGCTTGCTGATTGGTTGCAAAGAAACAAGAAGTCATTAGCTGATATTAATGGCTCATAGACTTTGATTTAACGCTCATGCATCCCGTTAAAAAAGATGCTCTGATGCCCTGAGAGGAAAACATTTTATTGTGATTTATTAAGAGGCTGTGATGACGTTTAATTCTAAATAAATTAGTCTGTGATTGTTGTGAGTGACTGTTGATTAACTAGTGGTTTCACATAATTAAAATAGGAGAACAATTAGACTAAATAGCTCTTTTTCCTTCTTTAATTATTTTAGTAGCCGCGAAAAATGACGTACCACAACCTGGATGACCTGCTCAGGTTCCAACCCATCCACAGGGAAACCATTCACCTCTATGATCCTGTCCCCTGCATGGAGCAGACCTACACACACACACACACACACACACACACACACACACACACACACACACACACACACATAAAAATGTAATTAAACTTCACATTAGTTAACTTTAAACTGACTCTTTTATTGTGTATATTAAATTCATTCTTGATCGAGCTAAACTCAAACTTTTTAAAGGGTAGTACTCTCAGTTTCTACTTTGGCATATCATCAATATACCATAAAAAAATACTTTCAACTTCTAGTTAACTATACAAAGCTGGGATGTACAGTATCCTCGAGACAAAAGACTCACCACTACGATCAGCCAGCCCTCCATGAATCACCCGAGCGATAAAGATCTCCCCCGTGATCTCGTTTCTCTTTATCGTCGCTCCCTGGAAGAGAAAAGATGAAATCAGAGAATAAATAAAGCTGCTGTAAAGTAGAGATGAGGACACACAGGTGAAGAGAAGTAAAATTGATGGAGTCATGGCAGGGTGTAAAGACTGAAAGAGGAGAATGGAAGGTTCAATTCATGACAAAGTAACAATGACACAAGCGAATGCTGATGAAGATCCTGAAATGAGGGCTCCGGGATGAAATGGTCCACGACACGACGAAAGAAAACGTTGATAAATGCAACAAAAAGTACGTAATAAATGTCAGCTACCACCGTGTGCGTTTGCAGGTCTGCCACTCTGCGGAGACGGCTTGAAAGGACCCAAGAAGTCCACTCTTTGGACACTCTTCGGCATCTCTCATGTCGCCTTCTTCCTCCTCTTCTTCCGCTGGTTTGAGCGACCTCCTTTCGCAGTGTGGGAGGTCTCCTTGGGCTCATCCAGCAGGCCGTTGGTCAGAAGGCGCTTGGACGCTTGAAGCTCGGCATGCTTCCTATGCGGCGACGGGGCGTTCTTGGTTTTCGGGGTAGTTTGGGGTGAGCCACGGCAGGACACAGACAAACAGCTGGTCCCCTGAGAGGTGGAGGTAGCGTCCAGGGAGCTACTGAGGGAGCTGGAGGAGGAGGATTGAAGTGAGGGGAAGGAACATCCAGCCTGGTGCATCAAGGATGGACGCTTTGGAGTTTTCTTGGGTGTGCCGTCATGCTCAGCAGGTTTCGGGGAGTTGATGTCAGTCTTGGAGGCGACGAGGAGCGTCTGCAGCCGGTCCACCACCTGAGAAAGGAGGGCCAAGGCCTGGGAGTTGTCCTGTACCGTCTCCGACATGCGCTCGGTCGCGGCCGCCATCTTCTCTCCGAGGAGCTTGATGTCTTTGGTGCTGCTCTCCATGGAACAGGCGGCCAGCTGCACCGTCGTCCTCAGCTCGTCCAGACTCTCCTGCTTGGCGAGCTCCACGGGGGGCACCGGGGGCAAATCCACCACGCGGCGAGGGCGCATGGGGCTCGGGGGAGCGGTGTGGATGCGAGGGCTTTGGCTTCGAAGCCTGGGGGGAAGGCCTGGCTGGAGGTAGTCGTTGGAGTAGTAGGGTACGGTGACACACGGGGGAGACATAGTCCACCGCCGGGCTGTGGGACGCGGTGATTGGGCGTTGCTGGACTCTCCTGCTTCATCTTCATCTCCACTGTCTAGCTCTTCGACGATGTCGTCTCCAATGAAAAAAACAGACATTAATCCATGGAAACCCACGGGTAGCTGAGATGAATGATGGAGGAAGACGGATGACGGGACTTTTCTTACCGATCAGAACCGAGCTGTAGACCGACGGCGCAGAGCGGTTCAGGCTTTGATCCCAGAGCAGGTCGGAGTAACAAACTCTACACCGGCTCATCGGCTTGCGACAGCACGTCTGACAGTTACTCTTCGGCTTATAGCGAGGTGGAGGGTACGGCCGCGCTGCTGCTGCGTGACACAGCGGCTCACTTGGCGGGTAGCTGCCTCGGCGAACGCTACACCACAAGGAATCCAGGCTCCCAGCAGCAGGACTCTGGCCTCGGTGAAGCCTCCTGTGGGTCAGACTCCTCAGGGTGTCCCAGTGAGTGCGGAGCCCCCCTCTGGAGATTTTCGCACCAGGGGAGGATGAACTGAGCAGCCCGAGCCTCTGGTGGTGGCAGAGCTGTGAGACAACAGAGTCACTCAAAGGCAGAGGGAAACGTTCAAGTAGAGGTGGAGAACTCCCACTAGGACTGAAGCTTCATTGATCTCTTTTCCTTCTCACAATAACATCAATACTTTCTCTGACAAGAGCTGTACAAATAAAGACCCACATAACATACAGAGGACTCGCATATAAGTACTTTCTTTATAAATGACAGGTGCTTCCAAACTATTTGGTTTTTCTCAAAAATCCTTCTTTTTCAGTGTTTTCTGCTGATCGGAGATCTGTAGCATCAACAGACGATTATTAAATTCAATGCAGTCAGCCTACATATAAAAAAAGAAATACGCACGAGCATCTGCTTGGACTCTATTGTGGTCCAGTTTATCTGCTGAAATGTATGCATGGTTATTCAAAAAAAAATGTATGTTATTATTTCAGTAGAGTAAAGAGGAGACGTGAGCCTTGAAGCTCACCAGCGGCTGTTTGTTCTTGACCAGGCAGACGATCCTGGTGGCCTCCTCGTCGTCCGGCAGGTCGTCCGGCATCGGTGGCAGCACCGGCTCATAGTCCTTCTGGGCCACCGTGTCATGAGCTGAGAGGAGAGCCTGCAAAACATGAAGATCAAAATCTGCTGCGCTGGTGGATAATAACAAATCAAGGTTATGAAAGATATTGTTTTACTATTTCTACACAGAAAGACAGACGAAAAATGTAGGAAACTACACTTAAATACAGTGTATTTAGATGTAAATGTAATGAAAAATGAATAATTCATCGACATAAATGAGATGCTGTTTGAAAGCTGGTTTTCTCAGCTTGCCCGTACATGACATGAATAGGTGTTACCTGCAGGTGCGGCTGTCTCAGGAGGCTGTAGAGCTCTTTGGCGTCTTCAGAGCAGCCCGGCAGCGCTCTGATGTCAATCAGCAACTACAACGAACCACATATCCACCATTTAAAAAAAACCTCAACAAAATGAATACGAGCAACAAATTATTAATAAAACACAATCTGAAATGTGACCTGAAGGGAAAGTCCTGAAGCGTAGTCCAGAGCTGGTGCGGGAGAATCTCTCAGGGACCTTTGAAGACACTCATGAACCTGAAAAGAATGTTTTGAACTTTAACTACAAAAGCAGTATTTAAGAAAACAAAACGGTTAGTACCAAGTGTGTTTTCAGACCTTGAGCAGCGACTGCAGCCAGGAGGCGTTCAGCAGACTGTGGAGGACCTCTGCGCCGTCGATGTCCTGATTCACCGAGCGCCTCACCTCCTGGATCACATCAGTCAGGATCTGACGGAGGCCTGCGACACACCGGTGGATCATTCAGAGTGTGAACAGAAAGCTGAAGAGGTATCTTAACGTAGTAAACCAGTGAAGTCGCCTTACTGACCGTGTTCTCCTAGTACACAGTGGGGGTTCAACACCTGAGCCTCCACCGCCTGCCTCATGGTCACTGGACCCCCAACCACAACCAGCTGCTCACAAGGACCGGAATACGGGCTGTAAGATGAACTAATAATTCAGGATGTTTTATATTTATATGTATGAAAACCAACCGACATGCAGAGACAGTCGGATCAGGTAGGGAGGTGGTTAGCGTGAATGGGGGTCAGGGGTTAATGGCACACTTTACGGCTGCTCGTAAGAGCAACTGTGATGTCAACACAGAGATGTGCAGACCCTAATCTCCGGCTGGTGAACCATCACAGGACAGCAAGGACCAGTATCAAGCACAATCTGTTATTTCTTTTGTAAAAAACTCAGCTGCAAAGTAATTAAAAGCAACATTAGATCAATAACAAGGACACTGACAGAGAAAACAGGGTGATAAACTCTTAATATAACCTTCATATCCTTAATTAGATAAACCATTACAAACACATTGGAAAGACATGTGGAGCGTTTAGGCAAAAACTGTTAAATAAGAAATAAAACAGGAGCTCCTCAAGAGGTTACTAGTTAAAGTAGGAGAGGATGATCCCTGTGGCCTTCCTTCAAGCCCTTCGCTCTTCAATAAAAGCATCTTACCGTTATGTCTGAATCCTGAAGGATGCCACCAGCTCTTATCCTCCAGCTCCTGCAGGGTTTAGCACCAACACTTGCAGGAAAATGTATATATGGTGGGATAATATTCCCCGGAGACTAGCCGGAGCACTGCACTTTCATCGAGCTGCAGGGAACGATGGGGGGGGGGGGGAAGGGGGAGGGCTGTAATCTCTCCCGATCCCACTTAATCCCAGGCAAGTGAGCCGCCCGCCTCTGGCCACCGGAAGCCAGTTCCTCCCTCACCGGCTGGCTGGTTGCTGCCAAATCTTCTTAGCTTTGAGCGGCACGCAGGAGGAGCTGTGTGGAGAGGAGGCGACTCTGACAAAGACGGTGATGAAGACTATTCACAGTTTAGAGGAAAGCTTTAAGTTCTTGGAAAGGGACAAAGTTAGGGAGATGTGAAATGTAAAGGTTGCATTAAGACTCTAGTCAGTAATTAAAGGATATGCGGCCTTAACAGCTGGAGTTAATGGGGAGGACATATTTTGGTCTCCTTCCTCAAACCCCGAAATCTGTGAGGAATGTGGGTAATGTCCTGATTGGTAATCTTATTCCCAAAGAACTACAACTAAATATTCCCTCCCACCATCTGAAAAGTCCCAAGATGCCCTATTGGACCCAAAACACTAAGATTATCTCTTTGCACCTGATGAAAATAATACATTCTCCCCTCCAAGTCTCAAAAAAGAGCAACGCTGAGAGGATTTAAAAACCAGAGCTCCTCGTGATCTGCAAAACAAACATTTACAACTAAAAGTGAAAAACTCTTTATCGTTTAATCTATGAAATGTAAGAAAATACTCCAAAAACACAAATATATAAAACAGAGAGAAGCAGCAAATCCTCATTCCAGTTCATGTCTGTAAGAATCACATCAAACTGTCGGAGCAGATTAGTTAGCAACGTCCATCAAACGAGTTTATTGCCGTCTGTAATCATTTAAAGGTACACTACATTTGACATCATGTAAAAGACATGTGGGACTCATGTCAGCCAGCTGAAACACAAAATGTGAACCAATAAACAGTCACGTTAACACACAATGCGATGTGTATGTGAGGCGTTTTCAGAGTGAACGTGTTGAGGACATGAACCCAACATGAGCTTATGAATATTATCTTCAGTTTGGAATTAAAATACCACTTCATGTCAGCGAGTCAGTTAAGGAACAGCTGTTACAATACATTTACTGTTCTGTGTTTGGTTTGCAAGTCAGTTTTGGTTGAAAATCCTACTTTTTCCTTTAGTTTTAAGCAGCAGCAGCGACCTGAAAGGTTAGTGAGACGGTAATGTCAGAGTTAACACAACACACTGAACAGGAAGTCAAAGAACAGCAGGAAACCTAAAGTCTCTGGTTGATAAAATAATGTGATACCTGGAGTGTCGGGCACATACGGTCTCAGCAGTAACAAGAGGGGCTGGAGAGCGTCATCACGATCATTTTTAAAGCCCATACACTCAGATAACATCTGGTGACTTTCACAGCATTTCACAACAGCTCCTATGATAATCGTTTGTATTATTACTGCGCCCGACCTTTACCCAACATTTACAATTAAATGTAACCGTTTGACATCTATTTTATGATGCTAGGTTTCCAAAAGTCCTGCAGGGAAAAACAGCAGCCTCAGCTAAAAGAGGCTTCTGATCCACCGGCTTTTCTATTGTTAAACCATCGGAGGAAACAAAAGCCGTGATATTAAAATAAAGAGAAAAAGGCTTGGTCATCCTCTGAATCCTCTCTTAAGCCCTTTATAAACTGGCATGTGGGACGCAAATCACAAATAAGCGACACTGTCTGACAGCTAGTGGTTTTAAAAAAAGAACAGTTAGCTTTAACAGATGGTGCAGAGAATCAGCGTTGAACATCACATCTATAAAAACAGAGTTTACATTAAACCGGCTGCCCGGCTCACGTTTTACCTTCTGCATTGATTATTTTACAGGTGAGCAGGTGTAGTAAGACCTTCATACGGTGCATGCAATGAACACTGTGTTATTCACAACAATACAAAGATCATCTCTGAAGGGGGAACCCACTGTTAAAAAAAGACAAATGTATCAAACATGCATCTCCAAATCAGCCGTCTGGCATTGCATTTACTGTCAACGGTTTATTTAACTTGAGGATCATTTTGCATTTTATAAAAAAGGAACACTTACTTTTTCAGTTTATCTTAAAAAAATCCCAAATGACCAACTTTGGAGATGCATAATTGTTACTGAACAGTAGTGATGTGTCAGTATGTGTTACACTAAAAACTGGGCTCACAAACAAACACATGTCTGTCAGATTGTCTTTTCCTCAGCCTGGTTTTGCATTAAGGCCTCATGATTTACCTTCGTCGTAGTTTCTGTTAAAGCCGGGGAACTAAACGTCCGTGTAAACTTTAGAAGTTACAGCCGGCTAATTTAGCCACTAACTGGGTTTGACTATATTCTGCTGCCAGCTGGTGTAACAGGAGAATATAAGTATCATTTAGAGTCAGTTTACATTTATAACACAGTGTCAAACATCGCTGTGAACTAGCCCCAAGAGTTCCCAAAGAAAAGCAGCTGTGAGGTGGGAAAATGAACCAGATGTGAGCTTGTTCACCAACGAGTCAGTGCTCATCCTTGAAGTCTTTTCTCTTGATAAACTATAAATAAATATGCTGCCGTCTCAGATGACAGGGATGGTAAATAATAAAAAGTTGGTCAATCTCGTAAAGTGACGTGCTTTCATGAGATTATTTCCTGGTTATGTCCGTTTCTTCATGTAGGTGTGAGGTGAATGACAAGAGGCGGAAATGACCCGAAACACTGCAGGATAAAAAGGTTGTTTTCCGTGCAGAAAGAACGGATTCTTCTGCAGGAAGAAAAAGAGGTTTGGTGTCTCACAGTATGCTGAGTGGGAGCAGAGAAACCAGAGAACAAACCACTCCCATTGGCACTAAAAACAACACTAGTATGAACCTTGAATTTTGTCCCAGGTATCATACATTAGGATTTCCCACAAGAAGTCTTTCAGCTGTGGACAGTTTAAACTGGACGGTATGAAGTGGCTCATCTCTGGCAGGAAAACACGGACAATATTCACATGTGTACCTTCATCAGCAGTGGATAAGAGCCTGGTAGAGGTCGTTAAAATGGGAAAGAGTGTGGAGGAGGAGGTCCCACAGCAGATGGCGCTGTCAACAAATGATCCTCTGCTTCCCATTGGCCGCTGCTCGCATCAGTCATCCTGAAGCCTGGCTGATCCTGGCCCTCTGATTGGCTGTGGTAGTAGGCTGGGACCGCAGGAAGTAACGCCACGCTCGTCTTAAGTGATCTTCTCATGCTGGATCTGGTAGTAACAAGCCTGGAGGTGGAAAAAACACAAATAAAAGCTCATAAAGACCAGTGCATAGTGGGTTTAATGCATTTATAAATGTTTACAGTGAATTATTTACTGACAGATGTGTGCGTGATACCTTTAGAGTGGTGAACATGATTCCATGCTCTCCGTGCTGCACGCAGGGGTCCATCAGGTCTTCAATCAGGCTCACCTCTGACCCCAAGTTCCTGATTCTGAGAACAAAATATTTGCATGTTTCATACAATTTAGAGATTCTGAAACTGCTGTTTCTGAATGAAAAACACTGAATAGTATGTAGGGGTCAACAAGAGAGAACTTGGCCTAGTTCAAACAAGTTGATGTATTTCATTTGGTTTGTGGCTGACCGTGCGCGCAGCACCACGTAGAGGAAGACGGGGAAAAGGTCGTCCATGGACCACAGGAAGTCCTGCTTCAGCAGCGACTGGACCTCCTGCGTGATCTCCTCAAAAGTGAGCTGGATCACCTGCAGCTTGTCCGACGGTGTGAATGTTGTGCTGCAAACAGACGACGGAATTACTCAGGAAACACAGTGCAGCTTTTCTAAGATTAAAAGCACACGAAAGCACTTGAGATGGGTTTTAAAGTTGTCGAGTGGAGCCGTACCTGATCTGTTGGAGGGTCTCCACTGCAGAGGCGAAGCAGGCGTCCTTGGTGCTCGAGAGGACCTGGAGACCAGAACAAGGTTTACATCGATCACGTGGTATCATAAACCGCTGTCAAGTGATTCGGCGTCTGATAAGCCGACAAACTCTCACTCAAACTGTACTTCCTTCATCAGATTTGTTTAATGAACGATCATGAATCAATCAACTGTGTGGCTCTAAATAAAATAGCAGCATTTGTGTTTTCTTGCACTTAAAGTTAACATACCTGCTGCTTCTCCCCGAGTGCAGGCATGGAGATGGGAAAGGAAACTGGCCAAAACTTTCTGAGGAGAGGAAGTAATCGTTTAGGATTGACACGGAAATCATTAAATGAAGACCCTCTGTTGCAGTGGCCAGTGTGTGACGTACTGCTGAACACCCAGGAAGGCGAGCAACGCCAGGTCGGGCTGCTTGTTGAGGCGGAGGACACAGTCCCAGTAGACGTCGTCCTCTCTCTCCTTGTCCAGCGCGTAGAGGGTGAAGAGCGGCGGGTAGAGACGAGGAAGCAGGACGGGAAGCAGCAGAGCCGAGCTGCTCACCACACGACTGAGGAGACACACAAGAGGATTTAATGTGATCCAACTCTGAGCCACCAAGGCCTCAAGAAGGGGACATGGCCTGGTCTTTACCCAGGTTTTGGTGACTCTAGTGGGGCATCGGTCGAGCCTGGCTCCTTCTTGTCCTGGAGGCTGGTGGTCGGCTCGGGAATTAGACCGCCCTCTTCTGGCAGGTCTGGGAAAAGAAACCTGCAGAGCACACAAGAACACGCATCAATAAAACAAATATCTATCCCTGTCTAGTTCGAAATGAAGCTATGAGCAGTACTGTGCGCTACCGGACAATCTGGAAGATGCGGTTGAGGTAAGACTTGATCTCGTTGACAGCCTGAGGCAGCAGCCGACGATTCGCTCCGACGCCCACGTAGGTCATCCTGTAGACCGCCACCAGGGTTTCCAGCAGCCGGCCCAGTAGGTGGAGCGGGGTGTCACACGCCTGGAGGAAGTAGAGAAAGATCATTCTTACAAGCCAAAACAACTTGCTGCTTTCTCAGAAAAAGTTACATTTGATTCACAGGGTCACTCAGTTTAATACAATTTCAGGAAAGAAGGTAACCGTTTATATTCCCAATATGTGGTCAGTTTTTGGAAATGTTGCTGGCGGCAGTAGTCATGCACAATCATGCGGAGTAATTTGATTTTTAATTGGTGGCGGCGGTGGTGAAAACAGACCACAACGGCCTGAAGGGGCCTTCTAGTTCCTGGAAAAGAAGCTCATGGGAATAAAAGTCGAAGAAACTTAACAACCCAGAACTTGCTACTTTCAGTTTAAAATGTAAATGTTCAATCACCGTTTTGGTCTAAATACAAGACACAATACTTGTACAGTCAGCCTCCCAGAGATATTTCAAAATTACAACTTTAGGTTCACACTGAGCTCCGTGAGTCTGTTGTTGGAGGTGAGGGGTGGTCGGGGTGGTCGGGGTGGTCGCTGGGCTTACCTTGAGGAGGTAGAGGCGGATGCTGTGATATCTCTCCATCGTGATCGGTCCTTCGTGCTGCGGGATGACCTCCAGACTCTCCAGGGTTCTGCTGTGACTTCGAGACATCTCCGGACTTGGATAGACAGAAACAAACACTTGCATCATCCCTTAAAGGTAGCTGTACCTTGCTCATTGTATTACTTGCTAAGTGTGCGTGTACCTGTCCTGGATGTGTTGTCGGCTGGTGGCGAGGGCCACGGCGATGTTCTCCCAGGCCTTCCAGTTCTCTCCTCGACCCGCCTCCTCGCAGCCCAGCTGACTCCAGCACTCCTCGAACACCGCCTGCCACTTGTCCTCCGCGCACACACACAGACGCCCCAGCTTCCTGCCACAGCACGCACACAAGTATACGACAAGCACCGGTCAATTCACTCCAATTAAATATTTTTTATGTTCTTTTCAGACGCCCTGTGAGCTTACACAGCGTGGGTCTTGTCCTTGTCGGCGTCGAACAGGTGTGGTTTGAAGTAGGACCCCGTCACTTTGAGGCCCGAGCCCCATTCGCCATTGAAGGAGCCCTCCAGGTAGTCGCTGTTTACCATTGTGAGCGTTCCCTGAGGGGAGAGCAATCAGTACATTAACACTGACGAACGTCTTGATGATAATACTTCAATATGTTTTGTTCGTCACCTTGCCATTGAGGGTCCAGTCGTCAGAGAATTCCCCCTCGTACGTGGTGTCGTCCTCTGACAGGAGGATCCCAGTTCCCTAAAAGACAATAATCTCCCTTCATTCCCTGATTTCTCTTCTTTCCTGTCCACCATCATTTCAATATCCTTTGTTCTAAAATCCTGATGAGCTAAAAACAAGACTCAGTGCTGTTACTCTACCTATGACTACCATCTTGATTTCTACTTTTACATTAACAGCACCAGATGCAGGAGAAGGACTCGTTGCAGGAGTCTGTCTTTATTTACTTTTCTTTGGTCCCCGTCAGACCTTCATAATCAACACAAGTCTGATAAAATCAAAGTGCTCACCATCATCTTATTATCTTTGAAGGCTCCTTCATAATAAAGTCCAAACTGAGTGACGACGACGGCGGTGCCCTGCCGCAGGTCATCCTGCCACATGCCCATGTACTTCTCCCCTCTGTGCAGGAAGAAAACTGCGAATTAAATCAACTTTCTTTCCCTGCTGTGTGTGGCGCAGCCGTTCTGTTAACCTGACTGTGTTGAAGACGTACTTTGTGATATCATCGAAGACTCCGTAGCCGGTCTTCTTGTCCTGCAGCCACTGGCCGATGAAGACACTGGGGGAGGAGGTGTTGAGCTTGCCGCTGCGCAGCATGCCGTGGCCGTGTCGCATGCTGTCCTGGAAGGATCCGTCGTAAACCTCACCGCTGGCGTACCTGCAGACAGACGGGAGGAAGTTCAAACCCCCTCCGGGCGACAGCGTTGTGCACTGCTGAACAACCTCTTTCTTTCACGCCAATTTCTGAATAAGCACGAAAGTATTTTCCCACATTTGCTGTGAAATACAGAAGAAAGTGGGTTTATAATAACATGACCCTCCACAGAGATTGATGGACAACAGAGCTCCTGACTCGGTATTCTCATACACACCTGTATGTCCCGAGGCCGTGCATCTTGCCGTCTTTCCAGTGGCCGAGGTACTGATCGTTCTTGTTGAGCGTCTTATTGGGAGCCAAGAATTCCCCAAAGCTACAGAAACACATGACGAAGCATGAAGAGACAGATCACCCGACTCACGATGAGGCTCACGTACACTGAATACGAGCGCTCACCCGTCTTCCAGCCCGTTCTTGAACGCCCCCGTGTATATTCTCCCATCAGGCCATTTTAACACGCCTCTGAAAAACCATCAATCATTACTACACATCGGTATTTTAAAGTTCTACCAAACTGCAGACAGGAAGCATGCGTGTCTAACCTGCCGTTGGGCTTCCCGGCGAGCCAGCATCCTTCGTACTTCGCCTGTTTCAGCCGCCCGTCCTTATAAAACGTGTACGAGGCCGTCCTGGAGACGGGAGGCTCCAGCTTTTGACCCGAGCCGACTGACGCGCTGTCCTGCGCCGCCGCGCTCAGGGCCTGGTCCACCGCCTGGTTGATGGAGCGAAGCCACTTGGTCTAGAGACAGATACAAGAACACTTATTAAGAAGGATGACACGCAGTCGTCCGGTTCATTTGAGGGTTTTTAAAGTGAGCATTTTGTCAGTCAGTGGCATTAAAAGATGAACCTTCTCCATGGGAGAGGAGGCCAGCAGGGTGAACGTCTCCTCTGGTGTGATCATCTTCAATCCATGTCTGCAAACACACACACACACACACACACACACACACACACACACACACACACACACACACACACACACACAAACCGTTTTGTACTGGAAACAACCAGTGGTTCACACACAGTTGTCACATAATGTCATATACATACAGAACATAAGATACAGTATGTGACAGGCATATACTGAGACAGGGATATCTGAGAGGAAGTATTAAAAGAAATGTCAAGATTAAGTCAGAATTATTGCAATATGTAAAAGACTGAGAAGATGTGCATTTCTAAAGGTTTGTAGAAATCTACAAATGATTATTTTTCCAGTATTAGACTTACAGGCCAGTGTTCTCCTCTGGGATCGGCTCCACCCAAAGCGTGGCCAAGGGGAAGACATGATGGGTGGAGAACTGGACACATGGAGAATGGAAGAGAAGGGAAGAGGGGAGAAGAAAGAAGGGAACGGTGAGTGTATGAACATATCTGACCACATTGAGGGACAGTAACTGGAGTCTAATTGCTACGAATACGCCGATAACTACAGCCTTCCATGAACAAGAGGAACATTCTTTTGCCAGTTACTGTCACTTCGCCTCAGATTTTACAACCTAAACCCAGAAAACTGGAGTTCTGTTCTCACCTTCACAGCATTTAATGTTTACAAGTACAGACATGTAGGAATGTGCAGGACTACCACGGGACAGGTGGGGACTAGAGGAGAGCAACGCAAATTTAAAGCGAACAAGTGAGAGGAAAAGGAGACAAACAAGGAGACGGGAAAGGAAGCTGCTTTGGAGAAGTGAACCAGAAACTGTTGGTACCTTTCAAATCGGTTAACAGTAAGAACCAAGGCGTTAACAGGAAACAAATACTCCTTGACTGTATTTGTACAGGTGTATTCAGAGCTGGTTGCAGTGTACCACATGCATTAAAACTTATTGAGCCTTGGTTACAGTCTGTTCATCCGTCCATGCAGTCTCCCTCAGGTGGGGAGCAGGCAGAGGGAGAAGGTGGGGATAGGGCCGAGTATCACTGCACACGTGTGTGTCGTAGATTAAGAATGCTTTCTGTGCAAATTGCAGGAATCAGATCAGATCAAATTTGAACCTGTCCTTCAAACCCTGATTTAATTATTATTTTAGAATGAATGTTGCAAGAACAGAAGATGACACAACCTCATTCAAGCCCAGATAGGACTTCACTAGTTTTATCGTGTTGTATTTCACACAGAGCCCTAAGCCCTTCTCTCACACACACACACACACACACACACACACACACACACACACACACACACACACACACACACACACACACACACACACACACGATAAGGAAAGTGGGGACAGGGGAGACAGGTAGCCGTGCTGACAGTTGCTTTTGTGGCTGCATACTTACAAGATTTTTACAAGGCGCCACGCCCTGACAGCACGGAGGCAAGCACATACAGACGCTTGAAACACACCAAGTTAAAGTGTCTGAAATATGAAGCACGAGATGAAAAGTGTGTGTGTGTGTGTGTGTGGAGCTGACCTGTGCGTGAACCAAAGCGTCGTTGAAAACGATGAACCAGTTGACGGAGAACCTCCCGGCGTTCTGCAGCGTCAGCGCTTTGTTGCTGCTCTCGCAGATCAGCCGGCGCTGAGGCTTCCGCAGAGAGTCCTGACGGCACACAATGACACCATTCAGCCATACGTGACATCATGTGACACCTCGAGGACTCGATGGGAAGGACATGCTTGTTGTGGTGATGAAAACAAACAAACACACACGGCGAGTTTACCGTCATTTTGCCGGGGAAGCTCTTCCAGAAATGAAAGGTGTAGTCGGCGTCCTTCCTTTTTCTCTTCAGCTGGAGGACCAAAGCCTCGAACTTGGAGCAGCTGTCCTGCAGCCTCTGGTAGTCATTGGAGCACTGACAACATGCAGATACAAATTCAACGTGAAAAACAAGAGTTAATATTATCTTTCAAGATAAACAAGAAATTACAGCAAAAGCAATAGGAAAAACAATATAACACTGAAGATAAAATACACCAATACTTGTTAATAATCTGTGTTCACCAACAGGTTAGACCAGAATCCTTTAAGTGGTCAATAACAGTAAATAAAACATCTTGTTTCACCCACCACTTCAAAGCAGGTGACCAGTTTGAGCAGCAGCCGGCCGTATTCGTGAAGGTGGCGAGTCGGGAGGTAGAAGAGCGCCACCAGCAGGTCAGCCGTGGTGGGGTTCTCCTCGCTGCACTCCGACAGCTTCATGAGCAGCTCAGGATTCTTCCCAAAGAAATCTCTTCAAAAGGAAATCGCTTTGTCAGCATTTAGAGTGATGTGTTATCTGTGTTTATGGTCGCATTATTGTGTCACAGCATCTTATCAAAGCTGGGGTTTGAGGATGAAGAAGTGTGTGCTCACAGTGAGGGTTTGGTCAGCGTCTGGAAACCTCCCATCACCTGGAAGTTGCCCACAGCGCTGCAGTACCTTTGTTGAGAAAGACAAGTGTCAGAAATCCATTGTTTTAGGACCTGCAAGCACTGAAATGATCAGAATAGTGATCACATACTCAGTGTAAGAGTCGAGGAAGATGCTGGCGTTGTCCAGGATGAGCAGACTGTTGATGTCGCGAACGCGCCGCAGGTTGGCGGTGAGGCTGGCGGCGTGCTGCCCCGTCAGGTGACACAAGAGGCTGAATCGGCCGATCAAAGTGTGCAGGAGCCCGGTGGCCGTCTGGCCGAGGGCCGAACTCAGAGCCTCTGGAGAAGGACGGCGACCGAACAGAAACATTTCGGTCGAGGCGAAAACTAAAGAAGAAAGATGATTTCCCTTGAAGGTAATCTTACCCATCTCCAGCAGGGGGCGTATTATCTGTGTCTTGATGTTGCACATCTTGCAGTAGAACTTCCTCTCGGCTGAGGCCAGCTCGTGGAGGCTGGCGATGAAGCCCATCACGTTCATATCGGAGAGAGCCACGCAGCGCTGGCCGCCCGCAAACACGTTGCTCACATAACCAAGCTGGAGGACAGAGAGGTGAGAAGACACAGACTCTGTGTTTGTTATGCGTTCATATTAGGATTCTAACCTGTCTCTCTGATAAATTAAGATCTAGACGTTCGCTGACTAAAATCTTTCATCCAGTTAAAATAAAAATGTGGCTTAAAGCTGGGTAAAAAGTCAGTTCACTTTGTGCTTACGTCCATGCAGAAGGGCAGCAGTACAGGCTGCTGGGTGTAGCTCCCCGCTTGCTGCTCCTCTTCCTCCTCTTCTTCCTGTTGACCCAGCTCCTTGGCGGGGATCTCCTCCGCCTCCTCTTTGACCTGCTGCCCGCTGTAATAAATGATGGGCCGGAAGCAGTCTCCGTCTGCGAGCAGGAGGGTGTGTCTCTCTCCAGCACTCATGTCCCAGACCCGGATCCCCTCCGACAGCTGGGAGGGGAAGCAGAGAGGAACATGAACCTCAAGGCTTTCTGTATCTGTGTGTGTGTTTGCATCGTACGGGGGGTGGTTTCCTCACCTTTGCGAGGCGGGGGACAGTGCTGGGTGACTCCATGTGTCCAAGCTGACCAAAGCTGTTACTTCCCCAAGAAAACACCTGGAGGATTGGTAAAATATACACGTGGATAGAAAAGTAAATGTAAAACTGTTTCTTTTAAAATGTTTACGGGTAAAAAGCAGCACTGACTCACCTGAGACTGAGCAGTCAGAGCGAGGGAATGATGAGCGCCGGCCGCCACACGCACCACCTCCTTACTGTTCAGACTCTTGATGCACAGCGGCTGTACTCTGCAGACAGACACGTCACACTACCGTCACCACACCAGTGTTGTCATTACATTTGAGTGCTTTCATATTAAGTTTGGTCTCGTAGAAGAAGAAAAAAAAAAAAGAGGATGTGAGACGCAAAACGCATGTTTTAGGACAATTACTGTATATATAAGACAATTAAGTATTAAAAAGTGTAAAACGTGTTTAGCCTGATAGACAAGCTTTCCTTCCTTGGTCTGACGCTCTTTCCTTTCTCATCATATCTTTTCATTGTGTTGTTGTTTCAAGCTTATTATTCTTTCCCGATTCAGAGCCAAAGAGACGTCCTCCAACCTAGCCAGACTGTCTCCGTGTCCCAGCTGTCCGTGCTCGCCGTGGCCCCAACTCCACACCTCCGTCTGCAGGGTGGGAAACACCTCCTGGGCCTCCGGGACCTCTGGGACCGGCCCTCCCAGAGGAGTGAGGGCCACTGCACGCATCCACGGGCGGCAGGCTTTCCTCAGCAGCCGCGGGGACACTTTGGGTGAAAAGACACAAAAAATGTGCTCCTTAATGTTTTCTTTTATTCCTCCACTACAAGATATTTAAATGGGCTTCAGGCTATCACTACACACACACACACACACACACACACACACACACAATGTGTATGGGGACATATTTCTGTATCGCAGGTGCAAATTTCAGCAGAAGAAATCAATGTGCGTGATCAAAACAAAAACATGGCCGCGCAGAAACAGCAGAGACGATCAGGCGGGTCACGTCAAACACAGGCTGTCACACAGCTAACAAACAGAGATACAGAGGAGTCATGAAAGTCTTTGCTTCATACTAATTTCGACTCAGTTGATCATGGAGCGATGACACGGTGATTTCCTTTGGGAGCATTTTAAAAATAGTATTTTCTCTGGTTTATTAAGTTACAACTTAATATGAAAATAGTCATTACGCCCTACAAAAAAGACGTATGTGCAGCATTGATGAAAATAACGACAGAAGGCCTTCAAATTCTACTGAGAAGGTCTCACTACAGACTTCTTGTCTCCTCCTTTATCCAGCTAGATGGAGGTGACACACAAAGAATATAAAAGACTCAAAGGTGTGACACGAGGACCAGCCTTTGCCGTGCATACAAGCTGGATGAGGAGGCCTGGAGTGCACGCACGCACACACACGCACACGCACACGCACACCATGCGTAAGAAGTACTTACGCAGCAGAGTATAGGAGGTGGATAAGAGGTGAACAGCGTATCTACCCTGAGAGAGAAGTCCTGGTAGCGAGAGGTGGCGCCGCAGACCCTCCGCCTCTTCCCCGCGGATGTCCCCTGTGCTGGAGCTCTTCTTAGCCTGCATGGAGTCTTCCAGGCGGACACGCTCCGTTGTGTTATCACCAACGACACTCGTCAGCCCCGCCGGCCCGCCTGCCTTCGCCACTCCTGAGGGCAGGTAGTTCATCATCTTTTTGAGGGACAAGGCCTCGTAGGTGGAGGCGACCCGTTCGCCCACTGCAGAGGCGCAGGAGGCCACCAGGCTGTTGAGCGTGGAGGAGGTCAGGGCTCCTGCTGAGGGCTGGAAGAGAAACAAATCATAAAAGGTCAAATGTTTAAATGAGAGTGGCAGAGGAGTCTGGAGTCCTAAATGTTGTCTAAAACACAAGCAGGTGTAAAGTCTGTGAATCTACCGAAGGACTCGCAACACCATCATCTGCAGACTTTGTATTTTTTATGTTGTAATACAAGAAATGCTAATGGAAGCAGAGGCCAGTGCTGCAAGTACTTCTGGCAGTATCACTGTTATTCCTCAAAATGTAACGTTAGGGTGATCCCTAATGGTACTTTATGATTGTATGATACAGTCCGACTCACCAGCAGAGTGTGCGTTCCTCCAGCAGTCGCTTTATCCATCTGCTCAGCCTCTGACAGTTTCTTTAGATAGTCTTTGACGGCCTGCTCATCTGGATACGGGGAACTCTTGACCCCCAAAACGACACCGCCTCCAGACTGAGCCGGGGGCCCAGAGTCCGCGACCGTCAGCGCTCCGTTGGCCAAGGCTGATTTCTTCTCTGAGTCCTGAGTAGGGTCAACACCTCTAGTAGGTGGTGGGGAGTTTGAGGTGGAGGTATGGGAGGGGAGGACCGGCTCAGACGGAGACATTTTGAGGCCTTGTGTCAGAGCAGGTGCCTGCAGCCTGACCTCATCCTCAGTCAGCTCCATACTGAGGGGGCAGTAGTGTGCGTCAGAGATGATGACATGGTCCTCTTTGTCCGTCATGGTGAACAGCAGCTGATTACACTGTCTGCATTTGTCAACCGGGGGCCGGTGAATGTCCTGGGGGCCCAAGCAGCGCACCAGAGCCAGGCTGTGTGAGGCCCCGCAGGCCACCTGTAATACATACCTGCCCGCCAAGTGCTCCACCTTTTGTGGTTTCCAGACAGGGAAGACGGCGACGTTGAGGCCCAGCTGACAACCGCTGCCCCACGCCCACACCTCCCGCTGGGCCGACAGCGCCAGAGTGTGCTGCTCCCCACAAGCCAGCTCCAGCACCGGGACAATCTGCGGAGGGGTTGTGTCAGTGTCCACCAGAGCGACCGGAGTCGGGTTGGGGACGGTGCTGAGGCCCGACAAGCCGCACTGGCCCGCGGCGTTGTCCCCCCACATGTGGACGCCACCATCTTCTGTCATGGCCCCGCTGTGGAAGCTTCCAGCTGCAACAGCGACCACCAGCTGGCCACTGAGCGCGCTCTCCAGGGTGGGTTTTGCCGGCTCGGGCACATGACTCTGCTTCCACGGCAACTCCCCAAAACTGTACACCTGCCCTCCTGAATTGGGAGAAACAACAGCACCAAGATCATAGAGGAACTTTGCAGTTTTAAGGTTAATTTTCTCAGTTGTGGAACATCTATTATGCAAAAAATACAACACAAACCATCCCTCATTTCCTGTTTACTCTCTACAGTCTATTTGTGATGCAAATACACCAAAAATAAGCCAAAAACAATGACGTTACCTTCCACCAGCAGAACACCATGCCATGTGCCCAGAGCCACCTGAAGGACCGGCCCGCGGAGGAGCAGCCTCTCTGGGGTGACGCTGTAGGAGTAGCCCTTCCAGGTGTGGAGCAGGCCTCGCTCTCCAGCGCCGTCATCCCCAGAGCTGAGAGAGCAATCGATCAGAAACACGAGTAGCAAAATTAATGGTTTTCTTAGTATTTTCTTTCGTAAAAAGGATTAAACATTTTTCTTTTTAAAGTCCACAAATTTCTCGAGGAATTACAAGCATCATAGGAACATAATGTTCTCCATCTAACAAACCGGAACATGAGAGAAAGTACAGACAAACACTTCATCCTCCCTCCTGCAGCTGTTTTATTGTGGGTGGAGGGATAGCAGAAGTGGAGGCGGTTTTGTCACATGGTGATCACAGCCAGCCAGATGTGAAAGCAAAGGTTAAGCAAACATAATCCTCTTTAGGAGGACCTTGGTTACCTCTTCCTCTCCATCAGTGGGGTTTATGTCTCCATCTCTGCTGCTGTCAAACAAAACACACCTCATTAGCTGAGAGCTGGGAAACAATCCTGCTAGTTTTATATATATATATATATATATATATATATATATATATATATATATATATATATATATAAATAAAGATATGTTGCTGTCAATGTTAAGAAGACTGGATGTTAGGGGAAAGACCCATAACACCATAGTCATGTCAAAATGAAAGCAGTTTTAGTTTAATTTTCATGTGTAATAAATATATTTCTAACATGCAAAATTTACTCCAAAAAACACCATTAATTACCTGCAAAAGCTGGCAGGTGTTTCCATCTATTGCTAAGCTAGCTAGCTGTTGTTAGCTAATAGGTAACCGTTAATCTGGCTAGCTAGCATTAGCTAATAAGCTAACTAGCTCAAACCACAGGTGTCTCATTTTATATTTACTTAATGAATAAAAACACACTCTTTCTTACCGGCTGATGTGCTCACTCAGACAGGCAAGAAAGACAAACGTCCGTTAAATAGTTTAGCGGCTAAACGTTGGCTGTTCATCTCTTATGTTGACACAGAGTGGACTTCTTCTTCTTCTGCGGCTGCTGCTTCAAAACTGATTTTACTCAACGGCGACACCTGGTGGCGAAAGCCTTGTAGCACATCCTGCATATAGTTTAAATTAGATGAATAGATTAAACTTTACAAATAATATTTAAAAAACAAGAATAACCAAAAAAATTAACAGTTAACATATACGGAAAATTCTAAATAAATCAATGTAATGTAAATAAAAATAAAAAAGTTATTTTTTACATGCTCCTACCTTTCTAAATAAATTGAATTAATTGGTCGATTAGATACCTGTAAATAACCACCATTAATGTGCAGTTTAGGTTGTTTCAAGTTCTCATTATACACCTGAACTGGTCCATTTTTTAGTTTTGTATGGATGCATTTTTTACTTGATTAAAATCTATTTTTTAAAACATTACTTTTACTTGAGTGCAATATTCCAGTACTCTTTCCATCCCCGATTTAATCACATATGGTTTCACTGTGCTGTAGAATGACCAGGAGATGCAGAGCATTGGCGCCCCGTGTGGTACAGATAGATCAATGCATGTGTATGTGACAGTCACCTATAATAATATGTAATATATTAGTTGATCTGCAAAGAATCCAACTAAAGTTATACAATAAATGTCGTGTAGAGGTATATATTAGTATAACATGGGAACACTCAACATATAGTACTTTTAGCATAACAAAAAGTATAGACTACTAAATGTCCTGAAATTTCCCTCCAAATCCGGCACCATGGTAAGACAATTGTTACATTTAAAGATGTTAATGCATAACAAATGATAACGTCACCATAAGACTGAGCCCAGCCCCTTTACGGTATCACAGGAGGCTGACGACAGGTACTCACAATGTATACAGGGAGGGTGTGATCCATCCCCAGACTGTTTTATGGAGACGAACGATGGGAAAACAAAGGCAAAATAATTTTTTAAGACAACCTGAACTTCATTTTTTACATAATCTGTGATGTATTTCTGCTGATTGAAATGGAGCCGAGGAGAGATTTCACGCTGATTTCAGCGCTTTGCTGCTGCTGGATCTGCATCCACTCCGGTGAGTGTGACGGTGAAACCGCAGCTTAAATGATGTGATTTCAATCATGCTGATATTTAACCTACAGGCTACTAAAGTAGCATTCAAATGTTGTCCTATCACGACTTTAGCCTATACTTTTTGGGACTTTATAATATTTGTATAGTATTCAACCTCCTGTTGTATCACAAAGAAACGTCTGTGCGTAATTTTCAAATTCCTTCAACAATCTTATTGTCATATTTTTGCAGTACAATTATGAAACTCACCATTGTTCTTATTTCTATCAGGACTTATAAGGATGATTTTGCTATTTTATTTTATATATACAGGACCTAAAGGCATCATTTACAGTACTAAACATAATCAAAACCAAATACAATTTTTTTCAATTCAACATGGAACCTTTACATATAAAGACAAAAAAATATATAAAATGTAAAAAAATAAATCAGTACACAATTAAAATAAGATGTTCTGCATAAAACGTAAGCATGACACAAAATAAAAGCATTAAGTAGACAATAACAACAAAGATGCGACATTACAGACATACATGATTTAGTTATTTTGCAGTAGGTATTAATCATTTTCAAGTAGTATATTCAAGTAGTATATTCTTACAAACAATCTTATTTTATTTCACCATATTCCATATTAAAAAATATTTTACCATGAATTTCATCCTTCTAAAACTCTCTACAACCATTTAAAATGACATTAAAAATGTTTTTTTTATATTATGCATTCATTTTAGTTCAACTGAATAATAAACAAGATGTGATCCTTGATGTTGACGTGACGATGAATGTTATAAAAACCTTTACAAACTATTTGCCACAGTTTCCTTTAAACAGTTTAGAATTGTTCTGCACCTGAGAATTGAGCAGAATAATCTGTTTTAAATTCAATCTGCAGAAAAACAAAAACTGCAGCACAATGCAATGAGATGTTTCTGCTCCACTGGCAGAGCCTCACCTGAAACATCATTTGGTTGGTTATAAATAGACAATATAATCACAGAAACTGGCATTACACACGTTTGCACAGTGTGTGCTCTTGGCTGGCTGTTTCCTACTCTGGATAATCCTAAATTGCTTGTCGGTGATGCCAGGTTGCCAGAGAGTTCAAAGCTGTGTGTTCAGAGAAGACCGAGGGAAGAAGAGCTGCTCGTGAAGTGAACGGGAAAAGAAGATGTGTACATTTCTTACTACTGTTCATTTAACCTGGAAGACAAATCAAATCTCCTCTGACACAAAAGGTCGAACACTGAGGATTAAAGAGGTTTATTGCAATAATGAAATCACGAGTCTAATGAGCGATGACTGACAGAAAACAAAATCAAGTTTCAGTTGTGCCAAGAACCGTCTGGATTTATTGCATTATTAACATTTCTGTGAGAAATGCTTGGTCTCGCTCTCATAAACTCTTTAATAACTAACTCTCTCATAACGCAGTCTTCACAGTGTTTATGAGTTGTAACTAAAGGCTTCACTAAATCATTTGCTCAATAGATCATAAGCTCTTACTATTTACAACGTTTGGATGATTAAATAAAGTAGATAAGAATATCCTTCGCACCCTTGTGTCTGTATGGTGAATATGAAGCTCAGCTAACCAAACTATAGCCCTTCACCTGCAAAATGTCACACAATGAGATACGTACCAACCACAAAGAGACACAAAACGACCACAAAGAGACACAAAACAACAACAAAAAAGAGGCTAAACAACTATAAAGTCTGTGTGTGTTGCTCCTGTTGTTGGATTTTAGTGTGTTTGGATTGAAGTACAAATCAGGGACAGATAAGTGATGTCCCTCGTCTCCGTCTCCGTCCGTCAGTGCTGGCTGAAGACTGGAGCCGCGTCCACACTGAGGACGAGCTCTTCAGGAGCTTGTTTGGCAGCTACAGCAAGTGGACGCGTCCGGCTCGAAACATCACCGACGTGGTCATCGTCAAGTTCGGCCTCTCGATCGCACAGCTGATAGACGTGGTGGGAACACCCAAAAAAACTGACCACCGCTTCAAAAATATAAAGATATATCAAAGTTATTGCTGCTTTCTAAATATTGTGCTGTTCATAAACAATCATTCTCACATATGAGAGTCTAATAAGAAGAAGAATTCCTTCTAAACCAGTTGTTTTTGTCAATGTTTGGATCAAAAACAGGACGAGAAAAATCAGATGATGACGACCAACGTGTGGCTGAAACAGGTATGGAAGAAACTGACCTGTGATTCAATACTTTGCACCAATATTCATCTCTTTGATTTGGCCTTTCTTGTATGAAAACTATGAAACTGCTTATTGTCTTAAAAACCGTGTCGGTTTTGGCAGGAATGGACCGACTATAAGCTGCAGTGGAGTCCGTCCGACTTCGACAATGTGACGTCCATCAGAGTCCCCTCTGAGCTCATCTGGGTGCCGGACATTGTGCTGTACAACAAGTACAAAACATTCAGCAGCTAACAACTGCAGCTGCACAAATCTAGTAGAAAGATGGAGTGAGAACAAGAGGAAATCATACGGTTAAAGGACAAAAACATAAGTTTTGAAGGAAGTTTGTTGAGGAAGTTTTGTTAGTTAACTAAACTAAAGTTTACAAGTGAAGGGCACACTTTATACAGTTTGCTTCTTGCCCAAAAGCAGTTTGTTGCCATTTTTCCGAATACAAGGAAGGCTGTGTCACAAGCACAGACAGCCAAGGACACACTTAAACAGGCACGACTTTGGATTTCTGTAGGTGGAACTGGAAATTACCTGTAGTGATCAATTACCCGCTTGATCCATAACAATGTCCTCGTCCACTGAAGAGCGTGTGAGTGAGGGAAGGTCACTTATATGGAGCCAAACAGCTCGATTGTATTTCCCTGCACACCAATTGGTGATAAATGCAAATCATCCTGTTGAATAAAGGACCCTGATTGCATTGCATCTGTGCAGCGATCTTGCATCACACAGTTTTAGTCAAAGTCTGGCTTCCTCCCCTCGGGGCCCCGAGGAAGTATTAATCCTTAATGTTGTCTGGATGGAGAGTAAACTTTCTCCCGCGTCAGCATTTGTGCAAATGAGCTTGCATCATGAATGCAGCGTGGTTAACATTCGGTTGATCAATTATTAAAAGAGTAAAAGGGGCATCGCTCAAGGTTTAATTATTCAGATTTTGAGTTTGAAACGCAATAAGACGGAAACTTTGGAGCCTTGCTGAACAAAATAACGACAGAAAAATCATCCTTTTTATCCAGATGATACCTCAACTTTGCTGTCTTGGTATTGGTGTCAATTTTCAATACTTTTTGCTTGTTTTTCGTGTCTCAAATGCTATGCTTCCTCCCCTCATCCTCTTCTTTTTCCAGTGCAGACGGAGAGTTCACCATCACCCACATGACCAAGGCCCATCTCTTCCACACCGGTCGTGTCTGCTGGGTTCCCCCGGCCATCTACAAGTCCTCCTGCTCCATCGACGTCACCTTCTTCCCTTTCGACCAGCAGAGCTGCAAGATGAAGTTCGGCTCCTGGACGTACGACCGCGCCAAGATCGACCTGGAGCCCTTCGAGAACACGGTGGACCTGAAGGTTCTTTTCATTTTGAGTTTGTGCCATTTAGACACAATTGGCGCCTCCGTTCTGTCGTGGTTTGCCAGCTCTGCCTCTTTACCTTCTCTTGTCTTCGGTCCACACATGCTCCTTTCTAACATTTTGTTTTGCAGACGGATGCCAGCTAAATGTTCTGGCTGCTTACTTTTTAATTAACAAAATAGTTTTCAGCACGTTGGATTGCAGAATTAACTTCTGGAGAAAACAAAATGCATGAATACTTTTTCCTGGAGCGATTTCTGAGGTTTTCTTATCTGTGTTTTACATTCCTATTCTTCTGCACTGAAATATACTGACATCAGTCACCACTCTGGTCCAGAGGGACATCTCTTCCCATCAATTGAATGGATTGTCATGAAATTTGTTGCAGATATTCATGGTTTAAAGAGGATGACTTGTGTGATTGTTTGACTTTTTCTCTAGCGCCTCTGTGTCTTGACAAATACTGGATGGTCATGATTTCCAGGAAATTAGTACAAACATTCATGTTCCTCTTTGGTGATCCATTCACTTTTCAGCCAGCGTCATTATCAGGTTGGGTGCATCCTCTGTGGACCATGAATGTCTGAACAATATCTTTCGTCAATCGATCAAATATTTTCATCCCTAGGATTACTGGGAGAGCGGAGAGTGGGCGATCGTCAACGCCGTGGGAACCTACAACACCAAGAAATACGACTGCTGCCACGAGATCTACCCCGACATCACCTACTACTTCGTCATCCGCCGCCTCCCGCTGTTCTACACCATCAACCTCATCATCCCCTGCCTCCTCATCTCCTTCCTCACCGTCCTGGTCTTCTACCTCCCGTCGGACTGCGGCGAGAAGATCACGCTGTGCATCTCCGTGCTGCTGTCGCTCACCGTCTTCCTGCTGCTCATCACGGAGATCATCCCGTCCACGTCGCTGGTCATACCGCTGATCGGGGAGTATCTGCTCTTCACTATGATCTTCGTCACGCTGTCCATCGTCATCACCGTGTTCATGCTGAACGTGCACCACCGCTCGTCAGAGACTCACACCATGCCTCGATGGGTTCACGGGCTTTTCCTGTCGGCGGTGCCTCGCTGGCTGTGCATGAAGCGTCCACAACACGGTGTCAGGCCTGCAAGGTGAGCAAACAAAGAAGGCCTCGGGCTCCGCAGAGTGAAGCCGATTCTCTCTCCTGGCCAGCAGGGGGCGACTCCTCTGGTTGTATAGAAGTCTATGAGAAAATGACTCTACTTCTCTCTTGATTTATTACCTCAGTAAACATGAGTTTAAGTTGATATGGTGAATGCTTGTTTACACATCCAGCAGAGCAACATTATGCTTCATTAGGAGTCTTGTTTGTGTCCAACTGATGAATTTAGGTCAAATATTCTCTCTCTGTTAGCTCTGTTTCTGGTCTCCACCGACTCCTGAGGAAAACATCTGTCTCTTTAGCTGTCTCTTCTATGTTCACCAGCTAGACTCTAACTGTGTCTGCCTGCTCTTTGCTTTGTTGCCTCAGGCTGCACCACCTGACTGATAAACTCCTCCCCGTCCGGACTCCAGGCCCCGCCCACATCTCATCCACCTGGGTCACTCAGGAGTCTGACATCGATCTTTATGATTCCCAGGAGGACGCCAGAGATGAAACGCACTACTGCGATGTCCACGGTTACACAGACGCAGATAATCTGGGGAGGTTTGGGGTGAAGGTAGCTGGCCGGCCGAGGATTTCTCCCCTCTCTCCTCCTCTCCCTCCATCTCTGGGTTACATCCTCCTCCCACAGAGACTCTCCCCACTCAGCTTGGACTGGGACACCCCTCCTGTGGAGCATGGTTCGATCCAGGGCCCTATGGCCTCCGCTCTGTCTCCTGCGGTGGTATCGGCCCTGGAGGGGGTCACCTACATCGCAGAGCATCTCAGAGCCGAGGAAGCAGACTTCTCAGTGAGTGCTGACGTGGTGACAGGAAGTGATTTATTTCAACTCCTGTCTAATCTTCTTTTTGTCTTTTCCGTCTCTACAGGTGAAGGAGGACTGGAAGTATGTCGCCATGGTTGTGGACCGGATCTTCCTCTGGATGTTCATTATAGTGTGTCTGCTGGGGACCGTCGGGCTCTTCCTGCCTCCGTGGCTCTCTGGGATGTTCTAGAACCAAACTGGAAATCAGAAAGAATTAATAACGCAATTAATCTGCATGTTTGCCTCAAACGATTATCAAAATTGTTGTTTCAGCTGTAGCACAAAATAAAAAAAATAATGTAACTTCTTTTCTTTCAAACAAGTTGATTAATAAATCTTTCATGTTCTTTTTTATACTGTGTATGTCTTTTGATTTCAGCAGAATATAGTTTTTCTGAGTCTTAGCTGAAAAGATGATGCCAAAGTCAATCAGTCAATATTAACTGAAGAAAAAAGTGAAGTGAAAACTGTCAAAAGGTGTGTGGAAGACTGAAAAGAAAGAAGTATCAGATGTAACTGATCCTTGTGTTACTAAAGCAAGGTGGGAAGATGTTCACGCCGACTAGAAAACAACACACTTACGTAGCATTTAGGAGAAAAATCCAAACTGAAGCATTTTCAGCTGCAGACTGAATGAGGACACTTGAACACAAGAAGCTGTCAATCATAAGATACTTCGTCTTCTCTTGTGTCTCCTCCATTAGCATCCACATGATGTATTCAGCTCAACAATACTTTGCACTTTCCTTTGCAGGCCTCAATTCAAACATACAATAACAAACTTAAAACATGCACAACACTGCATGTGTGGAATATCTTTAACTCATTTTGTTTTGATGCTAAGTTGCTAACTAGCCTAAGAAAGATGTGTATTGCCTTACTGAAAACGTGCAGCCTCATATTGTGTTCATAGCGTGGAGTATGTATATAATAGGATTTTAAAAGCACAATATAAGGTGTTTTCTCAGCTAATTAAATTGTAAAAAGTTGGGCCAACTTTTTTTAAGACACAAATCTGAGTCACAAGATTATGTTTATCCAGTGTTTTCCAATGAATATTAATAATCAGGTGTTTTATCCAGAAAAGCGAGAGACACCCACAGAAACGAATAGGTTTGTTGAAATATTTACAACATGCTCTCAGTGTTACAAGGTCGACATGTGACAAACACACTGGCCTTACAATGAATCAAACAGAGCAGTCTAAAGGTCGAGGGCTTGTTAGAAGAATCTCATAAATGAAAAATTGGACATTTTATACTTTAATCACAATTTCTCAGAAAAGATAAAACTCTGAACAACACATAAGAGAGATTCTTCCAGAATGCACGACAGAGACACTTTTTGATAACTTCTCCTGCGTCGCAGTGGCAACAACAAAAAGAGGAAATAAATCCAAATGTGCAGCATGCTGTCATCCGTTTTTTGGGCCGACACTATCAATCATGTGAGTGTTTGCTCATCGTGTCACATCATACACACTTTTTAATCAAAGTAGCACAAAAAAAAAATCATTAAAAAACTTTTGACAACAAATGCACTCCTTGTTGTAAGTGGGTGGAGCAGTGTGAAGTGTTTGCACTACGGGCCGATAAAGCGGAGAGGACTCTTCACCAAACTAAGGCCAACTAAACCAAGTGACAACTATTAGATCATTATTATAGTGCCCGTAACCATAACGTTATTGACTCAGTAATGTTAATTACAAAAGATATATCTTTTTACAGTTTGCTACAGGTCATCATGTTCTGGCTGGTTTCCTGTTATAAAGTTATAAAGACGTCATTAATAGATTCCGTGTTTCCTCACCGAACCCCAAACTATTGGCCACCTCATGAGCATTTTCAATTTCATGCCAAAACCAGTAACCGTCGTGTTTTTTACGTGATCAAGAGTGTCTTTTGTGGTGATTTACAATGAATAGGAAGGAGTCAATTCCCCAGAACCCAAAATCCTGGTTTCATGGGAATGAAGTGTTGAACAGCTCGTTTCCTGTTAATACATTTCCAGTTTTGTAAAACTAAAAGGCATTTTGTTAAGTCTACACCGAACTGTACTCACTACCCACTTACTGATCTTTCAGTTATCCTTTTTCTTATACAAACTGTTATAATCATATTTTTTTGGAGGGTAGTTTAAGTGGGATTATTCTTGTTTGTCTTATTTCGATGTGCATCTAGTTTATATCCATGAGGACATTGATGATGATGATGATGATGTGCTTTGTCTCATCCGTCAAACATAAACCTTTGTCACAGATCTTTTCCAGCTCGTTTCTGTATTTCTGTACACATTCTAATAAGGCCTCCTTGTTGGACTCCAGTGGTTTCTTTCTTTTTAAAGACTCTCTAAATTGTCGTATATGCTGCTCCCAATATTTGTGCAATGGTTGAAATTGATTTTCTTTTCTCAGCTTCCAACTTGCTTGGTTGTTGTTTTTAAATGTTTGGACATTCACTGCAACAGGAAGCAGCTGAGCAACAATAAACACCTGGGACATGTTCAGGCACATGTTCCCAAACTTTGCTCACCTAAAAAAAAAGAAAAAAAAAAGGGGATGGATGAAACAAAAGCTGCTTTCTAAATACCAGCAAATAAAAGCTGATTTATTGTTTCATATTCATTCTTGAATAAAATAAAATAAGTGACTAAATTATAAGAAATAAACACAACAGATGAATCATGACAAAAGTAAAATTTTATTACAACAGAGAGACAGTGTAGAAAGAACAATATTCATGCAATATTAACACTTATGATTATCATATTTACAAATGTGCAACAAAAGGACAGAAAACACTAACAGAGACGTGCAGATTCCTCCACTCCCTATTCAGCGTAAAGCATTTCTTTTCTCTTAGCATACATGGAGCTGAATGAGAACACAGCGTCGGTGACGACGGTGGGGAGAAACGGGAAGAGCCGGAAGAAAAAGGTATCCGCCGCTGAGGCCAGCAGGTATCTGTATTTAGGCTGAGCGGACGTGATGGAGTGCAGCATCGCGTCGATGACCATGTCGCCGTTCTTGAACCCGCTTCTGCACATTGTCGTGAAGTACTCGTTGGCCAGATCGATGTACTGTCGGTTGAAGATTTGCTTACGTTCGTCGTCTAATTTCTCCCAAATGTCCAAACTCGTTTTCATCTTCACGATGCTGGTGGCTTGGCCGAAATTGCCCGGCTGGATGATGCTGACCTGACAGATGAAAAGAGAGAGTTAGTCTGTATGTTCTCAAAACTTTACGTGCTAGCTGGCTAATTCCACCAGGGTGTCATGCTACTACTGGTTACAAAAAAAGAGCCTTGAAAAAGCTACGGCTATAATGGAGTTCGCCATTTTAGGACGTGTAGGGCCATTGAGCATTGAGCTGAAGGAACAATGGCAGACGGATGAGAAGAGAGCAGATCCACGAGTTGTGGCGCGAAAACAATATATTTAATGTGAGCAGAGAAGCGCATCATAACACAAATGGCCAGATACTTTATAATTATTATTTGGGAAAATACACATGGAAGATCATAAAAAGATCGAACCTTTTATGATTTCTTGTAATTTTTAGACAATAGAAACATTCATTTTCTCCCTTCCTCGGTGTTATAAACTTGTTTTTGTTGCTGAACAGAAAAGCACTTTGTGCTGCATTCTGTGCATGAACGGTGCTAACAAGATACAGTGCGTTCATTCATTCAGTCAGCTTTGCACAGTGTAATGAAACTATATGATTTCTTTCATTAATGGTGGTTTTGTACTGAGTGATGATAAAAAAGAAGCCTGAAAACTTCCCACAGATGTCATATCTTGTCCACCGCAGACTTCCCCCATATGTTATGCCAACATTATTGTACATTACTGTACCTTCACACCAAAACTGGCCATTTCAACCCGGAGGCAGTCTGCAAAGGCCTCCAGTCCTCTCTTTGACACGCTGTAAGCTCCCATGTTCAGGCAGTTGAAGAAGGCAAAGATGCTCGACATGTAAACCATCCGACCTGAAACATTAAAACATTGTTTTTTTTACTTTAAACGTCACACAATAAGAATGGGAGGATACTGGGAAATGTGGCTACATTTCTGAGCTAACCTTTGGCGGCACGAATCAAAGGTAGAAATGCAAAAGAGGTTCTGATGGAGCCAAACAGGTTGATGTCCACCATGTTGTGGAAATCTCCGATAGAGCTCCACTCGATCTCGGCCCAGTCCGTGATGCCAGCGTTGTTCACAACGGCCCACAACCCTGACAGAGTACAAAAGTTAGTCCTCACAATGGATGTGCATTGTGCACATTTATTTGTTGTGTCAATGCATTATTGGGGACTCATTTAAAGAAGTCAACCAAGATGATATCATCTTGCTCCAGGACATAGTTGCATGATAATAAACCTCTTGAGATTATGCATGAAAACTGAAATAAATTAGTAAAAGATTATGTGATGCAGGCATAGTAAAGATAAAAAGCTGAGGAATATTAAATGATGAGATACTAAGATATGTAACTAAAGCATGATGTCTACATTTTGAGTTTCTCACTTTTATGTTAGTATCTATATTCTTGGTGAATCAGAGTTATTAGATAGTAAATCTAATTTTAACTTGTCATTATCAATATTTAATATTTTTGACAAAGAAACATTTCTTAAGTCAAAATTGCAACATTTTTAAATCAAATAATTGGTCAAAATGTAATAAAACTAATTTAGATTAAGATACAAAAAGCTAAAACATGACTTAGCGTCCCACAATTTTGATTTACAAATGAAAAAAAAACATTATTAATTGATTAGACTTTTTGATTTTGAATCTCATAACTTTAGTATTTCTCACAGAAATGATCTTCCACACACTTTAAATCTGATTACAAGTGAAACTGGGTCATTTCTTACAGTGTGCTAAGCTCTCACCTTTCTCCGGCAGGTTCTCCTGGACCATCTTCTTCGCCTGCTGCACCTCTTCATCACTGGTGACGTCCAGCTTGAGGATTTTCAGATTACTGGAGCTCTGTCTGGCCAGAAGTTGGGCTCCGGCTCCTTCCGGAGACAAACACCCAGCGAAGACCACAAACCCTTTGTGGTCCAAACATTGAGCCAGCTGGTGTCCGAAGCCGCTGTCGCAGCCGGTTATCAGCACAGCGTAGCCGACGCCGTCCTGCACATGGCCGCTGCTTCGGTGGCGGGAAAACAGCTTGGCGAGGCCGAAGAGGAGCATGGCGGAGATGGTGGCTATGCCGGTGATTTCGCCGATCAAGAAAGTTGCATACATGTTGATGAAGCGTCTGTGAACCACCGTGGCTGAAGAGTGGCTGAAGATTGTCTGAAGGAGCTGCCTGCTGCGCAATATATCCCCACTCACAACACACTAGCAGTTCATTGTGTGGGCGGTTTGTTCTGGTGAGAGCCAAACAATTTGTTCAGGTTTTCATGTGACTTGAAAGACACCTCTATAGCTCGAAACACTGTGTTGCTTCTTACTGGAATTATCAACAATCAACATAGGAGGAAGGAAAAGTCCTGACCTTTATCCTGATAACTAATCAATTATAAAGGCCGAGACATTCTGAATTTGTCACATCAGGCTTTGCCTTCTGTGTTCTGTGTGTTCTGTCTTTGTGTGTTTCTTTCTGTAGATCCTCACTCTACCTGTCAGCCACTCCCTCAGCACCAGTCTAACTCCCTTCACCTGCCCCTGATCACTAATCAAACACTCCCTCATCAGCACAACTCTCCTCACCTGTTCTAGCCACTATTTAAACCCCTGCCTCCCAGTCACCCACTGCCAGATCATTGTTTTTGTGTTCATACCTACACACCCGTTTTTGCTCATCCTGTTCCCGGTTTCCCAGTCTGTCTGCCCTGCCTCGTCCTGCCGGATTTCCCCTCTTGTCCCTTGGATTACCCGTTTTGTCACTACTCTGTCTGCGCTTGAGTCCTCATCATGCCCCGTGACAGAAGTATTGACGACACACACAATGTTTTGGAACTAATTCTGGAGCATTATTCTGTGCTGCACAACTGAAGAGTGCTTTATGCAACACTTCCAACACATTTCTGAATGTATCCGAGGTGAGAATCATAAGCTATATACACTATACAGTGGGGATTGTTCTGGTAAGTCATTGAAACAAGGCTTTGTTGCCCTTCAGTAGTGTCAACAGGGACCGACAAAATCAATACATATTGACATTTTCTCGTAGCAGCTTTAAGTACAGTTTTCAGGTATTATACTAGAGTATTTCCATTTTACGCTACTTTATACTTTTTAACGTTGGCTAACAGGGAAACTCACAATACATATCATGTATAGCGTCACCATCAACCGGCTCCTGAAGCAAATCTACCGGAACCCAACCAACAGAAATAGCTGCTGTTACTCTGGAGACTTAATGTGCACAGCTGCTTTAGGGGGGGTCTAACGCAGAACTTCTTGATTTTCCTCCAAAGTCAATATCTCTGTGGTCACACATCAGAGGACGCCTCCGTCCTGGAGATGAATAAAACCGTCTGCAGCGCCATCAGTGGTTAAGCAGTGGTGAGCAGACAATCGGGTGATGTTCTCCGTCCGCTTTACAACAAATCAGCTGTTACAGCTGCTCTCTCTGTCCATGTTGTATTCAGAGACGCTGCCTACATCTGGCAGACACCAAACAAAGGCCCAGGTGAGCTTCCCACCCCTTTATAGACTCTTTGGGTCCTAATGCCAGACCCCCTGTTGCCTGCCTTCCCACATTATCATAGCATCACACTTTAACACCAACCTCATGAAGCCTGCTCAGGCTCTCCCTTCTGGCATTGCCCTTCTGATCCCAAAATTTCCATGACTCATTCACAGCCATTACAACCACAGTGCATGAATTGCAGTGATTTTGTCTGGTTAAATAAGTTTGAAAGAGTTCGGGGAAGTCCTCGTAAGGTCAGGTGGTGTGTGGGCCACAATACTCTTTTCACCGGGAGACAGATGTCTTTTGTAGCGTTTTTAGGCCAAACATTTTGCTTCTGGCATCGCCTTCTCAGAGTCTCCTGTATTTGTTCAGTTTCAGAGACTTTAGGTTGTAGCTGCATTTCTAACACTATTGATGCGCACTGTTACAGCTTACCTCTGTCACAGAAGACCTCACTTAATGACCTGGAAATGGTTTGGACTTCACAACCAAGGAGGAAAGAAAGACAAAGTATTTTAAACCAGTCTTCTATGAATGTTGGGAAAGAAAATTGATTGTAACTAAAACTACTCTGACATGTCTACATGCATGCTCTTCACTGCAAAGACTAGATAATGGGGGCGATGACCCACTGCTTCAGTAAAACTGCAAAAATATATGTAATTATCACATTTAAAAAAAAAAAAAAAAATCAATTTAATATTTATTTCAGCATCAGATATTGACAAGTTATAATATATAGCAACATTCAAACCTTCACAGATGTTCTCAGATTGACAAAGTATTGTAATCAAGTAAAATGCCAAATAATCTACACAGCATGTTGACAGAACAAAAAGCACTTCTTCGATTGATGCACAAAACACAAAACATGTTTCTGCAGTAGGAGCGCCGTCGGCAGTGAGTCCGACAGTGTGGTTCATGTTACAGTAAGATGCACTAAGGATACGCTGTGACGTGGTTTAACCATTGACTGAATGGAAGAGGGTCTACCAGCACAGTGGATTCAGGACTTCACAGGAAGTGAAGAGCAGTGGCTCCCCTGTGTGGTGCAGAGAGGTCACTGCAAGTAAATGTGGCAGTTAAATACACAACGAAGGAAATGAGGTGATAAAATGCAAACAAAATGTCCTCCTTTGTCCACAACACTCAAGAACAAAACAGTATTTCTTAACTCGCTTTAGCTGCTTCAGATTGTATTCATGCTGTAAAACTTATTTTTTAGTTAATGCCATGTGCTTCTTTAAAAATAACTGAAAATGCCAAGTGATTTTAATCATAAGCAGCAAAAGCAAATTGCATAGAAACATCACGTGGAGTGAAGAGGTGCAGCCCCTCTATATTTATGCATCGTTGAATTTCTCCAAATGAGATTAATCAAGTTTAATTTATCCGATTTTCTCACATTTGGCAGCTTGTCCTCGACACTCTTGCCGACTTTTAAAGAATATTTTGACATTGTGAGTTTCAGTTTTCTTCACATTATACCGAGTTACAGTTCCTCGGTGTCCTTAAACAAGCTGTAATGTTTCATTGCTCACAATGAACGACGTTATTTCTCTTTTCAGGGTTTTAATGGTGCTACATTTCAAACCAGTGTCTTCAAGTTGTGTAAAAGGAAATGTAAAGAAACTTTCTATTAACATTTCAGTCTGTGAAGGGACAACTCCTAAAAGTATAATGCCGTCAATATTCTACATTTGTCGTAGTCAACAAATCATGTGTAAAAAAAACCCTAAAGGAAGAATGAAATGATGAAACCAAAGCCTGATAACTCGTCTTCCTCTGAGCAATAAAGCTCCTTTAAACCACGTTCCTCCATCACTGTAGTTTATTAAGACTCAATCCCACATACAAATACTCACTAGAGCACCAAATGTGGATTAATCCGCCGCTGAAAATAGTCCCCACCAAATGTACTATTCCCTCTTGTTTGACTGAAATTGTCGTTTTTAATAAATGTATATGTCTGTTATACGTTTTTAAAGATTATGGGCTCGTGGCTGAGATTTGTTGACAATAATAAAACACAATCCTTTGATTTATAAGAGTCTCCCCCCCCTCAATATAAATATCATGGCCTAAATATTTCATCCTAAGACATCCTAACTGCAAATTTGTCCAAATACTGTGTGTAATAATTGTCTGTTTTATTTATATATAATTGGATTTAAACAGGTGGTCTTGATGATTTACATTGTGGAGCGTAAATATAAATGTTTGCGTGGTCGATATTGATTGTATCAGTGCTTAAGAGGTGAGGCAGTGTTGTTCTTGGACATGTTTATAATAAGAAATAAAAACCCAAGAGCTAAACATTCTTATGATGACCGTGTTATATAATATGGAATAAACTAATATATAAAAAAGAGTTTATACTAAGGTGGTATGAATCTGCTGTTTTTCTTTCAGGAAGGTGCAACATGTCCCTCTGAAGCACAAACCAGGGGACATGTCTCGATGGCACCCAGTCCGATCTTGGCCTTCCCTAAACACAGCAGCCATACGGTCCAATAACAACGCAGAGCTCCCAGTTGTCCGATCAGGTTTCGACTTTCCCGTATGTGCCGTCCGGTGGTCGGTAGTGTTTGGGGAAGGCCTTGAGTTGCAGCGAGTTAAACGCGTACTTTCGGCAGCCGACGTTCTTCACGGTGTTTTCTCGTCTGCAACCCTCGCTGAGGAGACAGAACGGGGCATGAGTGAGGGCAGAGTAGTGGAGATGATGGGCGCTGGGAGTGATGCAGAAATGTTGTTTTAAATCTTTTAAATGTTACTTACTCTGCTGGGAGGCGAGTCTCAACAATTGAGTCGATTATGTAATGCATAAAGTCATAACTCGGTCATTTTGTCGACAGAATAATTCCAGCTGATCGCCAGAAGAGACTCATTATATAAACTAATTCAAGGTGAATGAGGAAAAACTACAACATGCAGCACCGTTCACACACACATGGACAAACATGGAAGAAAAGTGTAAAGAAAGCACAGTTAGTCAGTTAAGAGATGCAAAGGATGGAAAAACAAGTCGACCTCAAAGACCACAACATATCACCAGAGTTGTTCTGCAGGAGGAGGCACAGGACGTTTATTACTGCAGGGCTGTGGCGTTCAGGGACACACTGACTGCAGGTTTTTTGTACATTTAGAGCAACAGTGCAGAGTCTCAGAGGAGAAGAAGCGAACAGTTTCCTGAACCGGGATCAAACTTTTGACACCAAAACAAAAATCAGATTTTAGAATTAAAATACCTTTAAGAATATTCCCCTACAACCTCTCCTCCACACTTTGTGTTCAAATCACATTTGACAGACTGAAAAAATGCTGTTCTTTTAAATAAAGCTTTGAATTTTCACATTGCACTGAAGGAAATAACACAGCATTTGTTAAATGTGACCATTATAAATGACCTGTTATATCATTTATAATGTAAACAGGAGGACTCAGAGCAAAGTGCAAATTGTTGTTATGTCAACAGTTTAGCATGAGAAGTATTCAAATCAATAGTCAGAATAAACAGAAACAAATAAATCTGCATTTTAAACAAGACGTACTGAACTGTGGTATAAAGTGGCGGTTATGGCACAAGCATAATATTATATAGATTATTTATACATAATCTGCTTTGGAATAATTGAAGACAATATATAGCAAACGTTTTGGCAATACATAAAATACAACTTATGTACAGCGATACAAATATATTCTCTGATACATCTGGATTCTTAAGAATAAAACAAAAACAAAGAAAAGAAAAAGATGTTTCTCTTTCAGGTCAATGATACAACAATAATAATTAATATTCTAAGGAAGCACTTTAGTGTAATCACACATGCAAGTATGGGGAATTAATGATCAGTGAATAATTCCCATTCTTTCACATCCCTGCTGCTCAGCGATTATGTAATTACACATTTGTATTAGATGTATTTATGTATTAATATATACTTATTCTAAATAAACTCTAACGTATAACTTCTGTCTCACAGAGGTAGTTCTAAACTGGAGCGACGAGATTAAACATTTCCTGCAATAAAAAGTTAAATAAAACTATCATGAATTAGAAGTTAAAGAAGTAGTTTAACATTTTAGGAAATGTTCCTTTTAGGATTAAGCGCTTAAGATACACAACGTGAGAATTTACGACAAACGTGTGCTTCTACTGAGCGACAAAAACAAGCGCTGCAGAAAAGGGTCATTACTGTATGTCAGACCTCACGGAGCATTATACTGTATGTTTGAGCTGTTCGGGGTCACGAGAGGAGGCCACACTCCCAAAGGAGGCTATTCTTGGTCTGATCCATTTCCTTACTGGGTCGATGTTAATGAGACGGAGCCTCGGAACTCTGGAGAGGAGACCGACGCTTTAGTTTAGCTTCACAGGCGAAGATATTGATTTTTACAAAGCAGGTTTTCAACGTGAAAAGAAACTCTTGGCTTCTGCAGTCACAACCGAACCTGTTCTGTAATATAATATGTCTATCAGGTCAAACACGGTTGGTGCTGTTATTGGAGCAGCTGGGAAACAAGACTTCTCTAACTGTATAATAATATAATAATGACTTTCGACAAACCTGAATTAATCGGTTAAAAACCTCATAAAGCATTTGGCACAACGATACATTCCTCGTTTGTTTATCTCACCGCTCAACTACAAATAAAATCAGTTCCTCCACTCGACAGAACTCGGTTCTTTAAAGCTAATATCAACTGTTATAGCTGCAATCTGTACCAGTTTAAGTTAACATCTGAATGAATGTAAACTGGTCCACGTACATGCTCTGAAGGGCGTAGAACCAACAGTACTACTCTGCATAATCAAGCACATTTCCCCTGGATATCCTACAATCATACATTCCAACATCAGCCAATTAGAAACTGCGTTCTTAAAAACAAATGTTCCGCTCTGTCATTTGGCGAGACGGAGCTGATCTTAACAGATGTGGGTTGAATCTCTGACTTCTGCTGCGGCACAATGGGACCAATTTAAGCGCCCAAAAAGCGCCGTCGCTGGCCTTTAAGACAGGTGACAGCAAAACACTCGACTCAGGGAGTGAAAAGCATGAAAGCACAGACTACGTGAACCATGTCTGTGCTTTTAGAGATGAACTGAACCCATGACTAACACACTGACCCTCACTACAGATCTATGGAGACGGTCCAAAGAGTGCTGCAGGTCCTGTCTCGGTGGATTAGCCGACACAGGAAGGGCGGATTTGTTTCTGCTACAACCTTGCTACACAGGAAAATACTTCAATCACAGCATTCCTCGTCTTTAAAAAGGGTCATGCATGTTGTCACAAGACTGATGCACAAGGTATGCAAAGTATTTAAAACATTTGAGCCAATTAAATAGAGGGGTTCGGAGAAGAGGAGAGGAAATACTGTTGATTCCTTTTTTTAAACCCACTGAAGGGTAAAGTTTGAGTCAAGATGGATATATTAAGCTGCATGTAAACAGAGTCACAACTGACCCAGAGCTGCTGGAAAGTGCACAAGCTGAAGAGGTAAAATACCTCCTGTCTAAAAAAGCAGGAAGACCTAAAGGAATAAAATCAGCAAATACTGCCTGGAAATATATACAAATATATATATATATATAAACGTATGTGTCAGCGTACTTAATTTTGGCACAAAATAAAAGCTTTTTTTCGCTCCACTTTAGCTTATAAGGTGCAGAAGCACATGGAAGACGATGATGAATCAAACAAGCCAAACAAATTGCACAAACGAAGACAAATAGATTTCTATTATAATAGCTACCATCATGAACAACCATTTCCTGAAAGCAAGATATATATATTTAACCTGCATATTTGTTTTATACATATTCACAACAAGGTGTTTCAGAAATTTGCAAACTGTCACTTTGTGTTTTTTGTATTTTGTTGTCAGCGAATGAAGAATAAGGCAGAGCAGTCACCGACAGTGTGGACACCAAGAGCCGTCTCAAAAAGCAAATCATAATATCTGTGTTGATATAAACAAAACCAAAATGAGAGGCGGGGTTTTGCTGTTGATAAATGGGGCGTCATTGCGTAAAGCCCCGGGTCAGGGTGGGACAGTTTGTACATGCTGTACAGCATCGGAGTGAGGAGTTTTCCCACCCCTCCCCATAAACGCTGGACTGTGTTTTCAGCCAGTCGCTCCCAGCAGAGAGAGCAGCTCGTGGCCGTTCAGCTGCAGCGGAGTTTGGCCAGGAAATAGGCCACGCTGAGGAAGATCCACACCACCAGGAGGTTCGGGCTGAGGGCCAGCAGGGGCAGCGAGTACAGGAGGCTGGGGTCCAGCCGGAAGTCACGCACCGGCAGCAAGCCGCTCAGGTTCTTCTGGATCACCCCCTCCCTCGTCCCAATTCTGCCGAGTCACGTGAAGGTGGGAGGAAGAGGAGGTGTGGAGCAGCAAAAAAGGTTGGAGGAAGGAGAAGGTGGTGGAGGAGAGGTTGAGGGAGAAAAGAAAAGAGAGGAGGAACAGATGAGGAAAAAGTATAAGGGTAGAAAGAGAAGGAGAGGAAGGAGGCGTGTGGCAACAAAGCCAAATTATAGTATTCGTGCAAAGAGGTGAAATGGCAAAGTAACAGGTGATACCGGCGAGAAACCACAAAGAAGCCACGGCCACGACGACAGACAGCAGTTCCCACGGTGTGACATAATAATACAAATCGTATGGAGGTCACAACAGATGAAAATGATTTCACCAGAATAAAAGAATCCCGCAAAAATGAGCCAAATCATGACAAAGTCAAACACGCGGGAAAAACAGAGGAAGAGGGGGAAAAAAAGAGAGAGAGAAAGAAAATAGAGAAAATTAAGAACGATGTTTCTACGTCTTTCACCATGTTTATATGTTCTAAGACATGGGACGAGGAAGGAGGAAGGAGCGGAGGGAAACATGGCAGGAAAAATGTCTTGTGACAAGCGAAAACCAACCCTTTAAATTCAGGAGATTTGGGGACTTTTTGAAGTCATCTGCACTCTGAATCAGGAGCGTTACACACAATGTGCCTGCATGCCATAAGGACGTTTTCACTTGAACATGCTAACGAAGCTAACATGCACTACATGGTATGGGTAAGAGGGAACAAATGGTGTAATGGAGGAAAAGGGTACAATATCTCTGAGCTTTATCCAACGTGCATCACAGCTCAAAACCATTCCCAACAATAACTTAAGCTCTGATGAACAAAAAGCTGTTTTCATGCTCGTCGGCTGATGAGGCAGAGAGGCAGGAATAAGGGAGAGATGTGAGGAGAGGGAAAAGGGGGGAGAGATGTGGTATCATGCGAGTATCTGTGCGGCAGTGCAACTTTATTGAGCACAAGTACAACGCTGTGATTACATCTGTTTTTACATGGGCTTAACAACAAAATATAACAAAGTCACATAAAAACTCCACTTTGAACACACAAACGTTTTTTGACACAAAGATACAAAGACTTCGGGTTTAAACACTTGGATAACCAAAACTGCACCTTTACCTATTTTAATTCTTGTCGTTTCTTCTCTTTCTAAATAATATTTCTGTTCTTTTTTTACTGATGGAGGAGTCTGTATTTGCATGTTTGTGTTCGCCATGCTGCAAGCCAAACCTCCCATGCGGAAAAACCACAAAGCATTTGACTAAAACTCTCCGGATTGGCTGCAGTTGAGAGGAAAACTAAATCTTTCTTTAGACCAGAACAGGTGCCGTCAGACGACATTTGAAAATGAATGAAGGAAAGGAAAAAAGAAGGAGGGACGAAGGGAAAGAAAAGGTGGCGACGATGGTGGGTCAAGTGCTCCGATAAGAAAGACAGTAAAAGAAATCCTTTGCCAGCCTGTTAGTAACTCAGACTATAAGCAGCTTTACAGAAAGGACAGACAAGACAAGACAAAGACGTACAAACAGACCAACAAGCACTCAATACACACAACCAAAAGAGGATCCTCTCTCTTCAATATCAGTTCGGGGTACCTCTCCTCGCTAGACGCTTGTCACAGAATTTAAACCTTTTTGACAAGAGTCTGGTGAAGTAAGCAACCAACTGAATATCAAAATATTCAAGTATCCCTTTTGAGATGAACCGGCAACTCCAGATCAGTTTGTTTCACAGAGGAAGCAGGCAGTGGTTTTTAAGTCGCACATGGGCAAAACATTCTTTTCCATCCATTTGTTTCCCTTTACTGCTTTTAAAGATTTGGATCTGTGTCCAGCTGAGACGTTGACAGAGTATTACCCCCTTGTAGGAACCCTTGCTGACAGGAAGGAAAGTGTTTTGCCCAGGTGTGATTTTCAGGTGTGTGTGTGTTTCTCTTCCAGGCACTGTGAGGGCGTCCTACCTGCGCATACAGTCGAGGGCCTGCGTGAAGACCTGCGGCGCCATGCCGTGCTCGTGCTGCAGGATCAGGCACTGCTCCAGGGTCACCGACATGGCCGTGCGGTCTTTGGCGCTTTTGCAGCTGGTGAAACGAACCCCGTTCAGCCGGCGGCAGATCTGAGACGGAGAGGGAAGAAACGTTTAAGTCATCGGTAAATTACCTGGATACAAATCTCGTGCATTTCCTGCACAACAAAGCTGAGAGCTTCACCTCGGCTGCCTGCCAGAGGATGTCCACGTTCTTGTTTTTCCTGGCGTGGACATTCTGCCCCAGAAACCTCAGCAGCTCAGGGAGACAAGTCTGAGAACGAGACCTCGGGAGGCCTGAGGGGGTTTAGGAGAGGAGGATGGGGAACGTAGGTGAAGGGAAAAAAGGTTTGGATGACGAAATGCGAAGAACAAAGAGCAGAGAGAACAAAAATGTACTTATGTAAATGTACTTCTACCACTGAAGATATCTAACAAAAGTTTTATTGTAACTGAAACTAACTGGAACGGTTTTTACTTACAGTCCTCAGGCAGGACTTCTTTGAACTGTTCATAGTATGAATTTAGCCTGGAGAGACTCTCCAAGTTGATGACCTCCTGCAGCGATGTGTCTCCAAACCTGAACACAGAGAAACACAGTTTTTCTTACAGAGAAACATCTGGTGAAAGCTTCAGTTCTTCATTTCCTCTCCAACTCACTCACTTCTCAGCCAGCGTCTGCTGCTCGTTGATGCCGACGTTGAAGTGCACCGGCTGCACCCTCAGCAGCATGCCGCTCTGGATCTCCCGCGGCAAAGCGTCGAACATGGTTCCCGGGAGCGGGATGCGGACGTTGAAGCCGTCCCGGTTCCCCGTGATGATCGGCAACATGTCGGGGGCGGAGCTGCCAGTGGCCTGGGTCACCTGAAAGTGAAGTATATGAACGTGCAGCAATAAAAGTACAAGTAAAACCACAATTAAAAGCGTTTTACTGTATTTCTGCAGCTGCAGGATCCCTTTTTTAAACGTCTTCCTACCTTAAAGGTGACGTTGCGTAGATCCATGATGCCGACACTCATGTCCTCCAACATGGCCAGCTCCTCTCCTGAGCGCACACACGTGGTTAACACAGACAATCTGATTAATCTCTAACTGTTGGGGGTTCAACAGTGAAAGAAACGTGTCCGTGTGTGTGTGTGTGTGTGTGTTCGTACCGTAGGTGCTGAGCAGGGACTCAAACTGAGCCAGCAGGCCGATGGTGTACAGCTGTCGGAGGAATCCGTTATCACGCAGACAGTTCCTCAGTTTGATAATGAAGCCGCAGATGAGAGCGGTGAGCTGCAACACACACACAATAACATCAGTTCATATAACAAGGCATGCTGCTTTTCATCATCTGTAGCTGTTTATAGATACCAGAGTTTAAACTCAATGCTGTTGTACAACTAAGGAGAGATCCCATGACAAAAATACTGACAGTAAGCCTGCTGTGTAAATATAACTCTTGTTGTAACCAAGCAAAGACAAGAATGCACTACCTGGACTTCCTCTGTGCACACGTGCTTATTTTAACTTTGGCCCAAAGAACTAAACGTCTGGAGAGTAGGAGTGTCGGGGTCTGCAGGTGAAAAAAAATCCTTTCTTCTGTCTGACTTTCACCCTCCAGTCTTGTAATATTTACAGATTCATGAACTCTCTATCGATTCCCTCGCTGTGAGTCATTCTAGGATGAGTTGAAACGCGTGTGTGCGTGTCTGAAGAAATATGCCGTCACTCTGCGTGTTTGTTCTGACCGTCTGGCAGAAGACGACGTCGCGGCGGTACTGCAGCGACAGGTCCATGGCTATCGTCGGGGCGCTGTCCTGCATCAGCAGGAACACCATGGACTTCTTGGCCTTGTCGCTCATCATGGCGACGCACTCTGTGAGCGTGGTGAGGAGAGGAAACAAGGCCTCGCTCCACTCGCCTGGAAACACACACGCAGACATAGAACAGGTGGGACAATACAGAGGTTAGACTAAGCACCAAACGCACTATGATGTTTAGTATGAATAACGCCACATAAAGTGAATTCACAAGTTAGTTAATTTCTTTAAGAGTTGTCAAGACAGAAACAGACAAGAGATGGAACAGAGAAGCAAGAGGACAAGCAGAAGCGCCGATGGAGATCATACTCCACTGGGTAAAGCTCCAGGACATTTTGAAGTTTCTTTACAAGAATTAAATAAAAATAATAAAATATTAACTTGATTTAATACCAACGATGCGCTACATCTCCCAACTGGACATTTTCTATGAATACGACAACTTACCACTTCTAATAAACCATCTTTAAAAAGAAGAAATTAAACATTTAGTAGTTACTGAAATATGTCAGACTCTTTCTTACGCTATAAAGTCCGAGCTCATTGCCATTTCCCACAGAAAATCATAGTTCTTGGTCCAATATTGTGAGGTTTTGTTCAAGCTAGAACAGTGTTAAGTTGCTCTTTAGTAAAGAAAATGTGCATAAAAATAAAGGAGTGACTTATCCAGCAATCACACGAAAAATGTGAATCAGGTATAGTTTTTAAAAATAAACATATTTTAATATTTAATGTGCACGTTGAAGAAAACGGACTTATTCTGTGCCCAAATCTCACTTGATGTTCAAATATCTGCTGTTGAACCAGAGTCCTGGAGCATGGGAGGGATAGCAGCTCTTACCTGGGTACGCCTCCTCAGCACTGGGGCTTCCATCTGGAAGAGGGGATGGAGGTGCAACATGCATGATTAGCGGGCGCTGTAAGCCACACAAGGCAGCAGAGACACACACAGAAAACACTACCAAACCAGGGTCAAAGATCTATCCAAAAAACACTCAGCTTAGAGTATAAAGCTTGTGTTTTTAGCTCTTATGATTGAAATGTAAGGTGCTTAGTAGTAGTCCTTTTGTCCAGCTTATTCCTCACCACACTGCCAGCTGATTGCAGCATTTTAAAGGTTTGGATAGACGTGACCCTGGTCCAGTACAACATGTAGAGTGAGCACAAAATATCACATACAACCGCCTTCTCCTGAACATTGTCGACAGACCTCAAAACACAACAACAAAGATAGCACACTGAACAAAATGCTTTACATTCGACAGTTTGTTCTCACAATAAATAAAGGTGAGTAATTGAAAAATACCAGCTTTCCTTTAAGTAAAGACAATCATCAGAAGCTGACCTAAAAACATGTAGTAGAAGCACAAAAATAAGAGTTAAGTGAACCTACAGAACTCCTGTGCAGAGGAAAGAGCAGGTAGAGAGGAAGAGGATGGTGGAGGTGATGATGATGATGATGATGGAGATTCCTGTGATGTACTTGCTGGGTTGATCCAGAAAGCTCGTCTTTTTCCTTCATCTTTCACAGCCATACACAGCGTTGTTAATTCATACTCTTAAACGTAGAATTTATAATATTTCATGCACTATAGTTCTTGCAAAAATATATACGTTTCCTCACAAACGGCATCCAAAAAACCCACATTTATACCCTAAAAAGTAAAACAACAATCCAAGGTGTTAGTATATTTTGAGTGCGTGTTACCTTTCTTACAGGCGCCGCCCTGCAGGTCAGACTGGGTACTGTCCTGACTGCTGACGCTGGGCCTCCTCTCCTTCTGAAGCAGCTTGCCCACACGCTGGATGATGCACTCCAGAGACTTATCCACATTCACCCAAACCTTCTCCTGAAAGGACAGAGACACCAGGCGATGTGAATCTATGTTTCAAAGCTAAGAGGCCTAATAGAGTAATTACAGCAGGGAAAAGACCTGAGCCAGAGGGGAGACAAGATGCATAAGAGATGAGATGAATCACATCAGTATGCAAAGCAGAGAGCACCCCACAATTTTGCTTTACAAAGACTTTATGTAATGCGAGCAAATGTAGAGCATAACCACAAACTCTTGTCTCAGGCTGTCTGGGGACACTCCGAGGTTATTCCTCACTAACTAACTCACCCACTCCTCTTCGTGCCAGTCTGCGTGCAGCGACGTACGGCTGTTGGAACCGCTCCACTTGGCGAGCAGCGTGTCCTGGTCGTTGCGCAGGACTACTTGTTCCGAGTCGGCGGAGGGAGACCCTTTGGAGGCGATGTACTCGGGCCGTGCTGCGTTCAGGGCCTGAATGGCTGAAGCCAGCAGCTTACAGTCGCATACCGTCACCAACTGACGAGTCTGAGGGGGAGAGGAGGTATCCGTTACATCTCACCAGGCCAAAATAACACGAACAACGTCCAAACTCAAGTGCTGATGAATGATATATGGTGTAAAACCTTATCAGCCAGAATAGCGAGCGTCCTCTCTAGTCCGCTGGCAGATCGGTCCTTGGCGGCTCGGGAAAGCCTTTCTGCGTAGTAGCTGACTTGAGTCTTCAGCGTGTTGATGTGGGCGATGATCTCTTTGGCTCGGACGATGTCCTGAGGTATGTAGACGATGGACTGTGAGCTGGAGAGGGCGCTGCTGCAGAAAGCAGAGACACGGGGTTTTAGCAGCACGTCTGTATCCGAGTGAGTGCTGAGGACACTCTCTTATATCCTCAAACTGTAGAAAGCCTTTTATGTCAACATCATAGCCTTTGCATGCACATGCCTGTTCCTAACAACGGTCCTATTCAGTGGCTCTGCAGAATGCTACAGGCAAACACAGAGACAACAATAAAGTGTAATAAACAGGACTACGAGTGATACCGCTCACTTTAGAAATTCAAATAGATCTTAAACGTTCTTATCGACGCCTTAATGTCATCTTTACGTGTTTTACAAGTGTAGATATTTGTTTTTGCGAGACGACAGATTTGAGTGAATTTACAAAATGAGCGCTATTTCAAAAGACTTTGTGTTCCGTGTTATTAAATATCTGTGTGTGCAACATGTATTTTAGTTACTTTCAAACACAACACTGTTAATGCCAAATGCATCATGTGTCATTATTTGTTTTGCTGTTAACATAAGCGCATTCAGTCGCCTTAAACTGACTCACCACTTCATCCAAAATGCTTGAAAATCACTAAACATTGTCAGAGAAACAGTGGAAGTGTTTTTTGTGGCAGTGAGAGACAAACAGTGTCGGAACAAATGAAGACAAGCAAAGCAGTGCAGCGACTCACCATTCCTCCTCATAAACGCTGATCGATAAAAAGTAACAAAAACAAAATTAAGAGGAAGCCATAAAACTGAGTTAATGCAATAGTTGAAGAAACAATGCATTCATCATTTATGTAAAAATGACTCCTGAGCAGCCAAATCAAAAGAGATACGACTTTCATACGGATCAAACGGTTAAACAATTTGAAACAACATAAGTAAAAGAATGAATAAATCAACAGAAACAGCAGATATCACTGTGAGGGGAAAAACATGCAAATGCATTCGTTTTTTCGATTAAACTGTTTTCCAAGTCTGTCTCCTCTGAACTTACTGTTTCTTTGCCTCCTCAAACTTCTGAATAAGTTTCCTCAAACCGCTGTTTTTAAAGCCCTGGCAGTGAGCCGCCGGAGCTCCGATTGTTATCACGTCGTACGTGTGTTCTGGAGAGGGAGAGGAGGAAACCACGCGTGTGAATAGAAGACAAGTGGCACGCTTGTATTAGTTTGCCCACGTACTTCGTGTCTCACCGAAGCCCAGCTGGTCCTGAACCCTCATCCTCTGCACGTGTAGGTTGGTCGGCATGAACTCAAGCTTCCTCTCTGCCTTCAGGTTACTGGCTTTGAACGATGGACCTGACGTGGAGACAGAAGGAGGAGCGGGGGGGAAATAATCATACGTGACAAACAGAACAGGAGACTTTTCTGCAGCTTGTTTTAAAAATGATGTTTTTTATCTTTTCAAACAACAAGAGGCGACAGAGAAACCTCTAACCTCTGTAGTCAGTGAGGTCTGACAGTGTTTCCTGGTATGCGAGTATTATGGTCTGGTACTGAGAGACAATCTGTCGCCTCAGATTCTCCCAGCAGGGGGACAACTCTCCCAGCTCCTCCAGCTCACACACCCTGGAGAAAATGGGAGTTAGCATCACAGAGGGGAATAAAGATCACATGTTGTTAATGCAACTACATTGGTCTGATGATGAAATTGCTATTTATTTTGCAATATAGAATACAAAATATAGCGTACACTTGGACTGATTTTCTTTTACATCTACTGTAGTAATACACAGACTATGTAGAAGTACCTCGTACAACCACGCTTCCAAACATCTGACATGTGAGAAATGGACATGTGTGTGTGTGTGTGTGTGTACCTGGCCGCGTCCTCCTCCAGCAGCAGTTTGACGAACTGCCTGGGGATGTTTAGTGACAGGACGCTCTCAGCCATTTGCTCCAGCACCCGTAGGTGGTTCCCATCAGTCGTGGGGAAGCGGTACATCCTGGACATCGTGCCTCCAAACACTAAAGGCGCAGACAGTGTAATTAGACCGGATTCACTTTAGTTCGTATAGTAAGTTATAGTTACTTAAACATACTTTACTAGACAGAGTGAAACAATTATTACAGGAGAAGAACACCGAAAGAAAGAAACACTGGTGAAACACGTTGTAGAAATGTAATGATACGCTTCAAACGTTTGTGTTGTTTTTGGATCAGAGGTAATCAGATCCCTCCCACTCACTGGTGACGATCGATATATTTCTCCCAGATAATAACATTGATGGTCTGATGTATTGGTAAACATGGCGCCATGCAGGTTTTAAGAGGTAGAAGATGGAAAGAAAGGTAAATCTATACACGTATCTATTTTTATTCCCTCACTTTCTGGACAGTGTTGGTTTTTACCTGGTTCTTAAATGATGAAAATGTTACGTCCTCATCTGCTTTCTGTCGTCTTTTCCTAAATCTATTATTAAAGGGCTGTCATACCTGAGCGCAGCAGGGTGTCTTTGCATAGCGAGGCGTACTTTATCCGGACTCCCATGGACTCGGTGAGGCTCTCGTCAACAGGCAGCATCGTCTGCAGGACACACACACACACACACACACACACACACACACATACAATGGTGTTACACGGTCATCAAACCGCCTCCATCTGCCTGTTCAATCTTTCAGGCCTACACTCACCTCTGCAGTGCTCCCACACAAACCCAATCCACTAACATAAGTCATTCTGCTGCCACGTGAGGCTGTGTGACATGTTCATTATGACATAAAGAAGGTTAAGTGACTTATTGTTGGATTATAAAGCCGTACACGCAGATATAAACAGGATGCCTCAGAAACACATTTAACAATTAGGAGATGATGGCTGCAGGAAAACAGTATTCATTTATGTCCCTCCCAGCGGCTCTTACCCGTCCGTTGATGCTGTCTGGCAGGCGGCTGACCGACATCCTCTGATCCGCTGTCTCCTCCATCTGCCAGGCAGCTATGGTGATGTTCCCCACCCGCTGGTTCTCTGCTGATCTGTCCATTCAGGCACATTTACTTGATTTCCTTCGTATGAATATATACGACGAGAGATACAACCTACACTTGTTTTACACAAAACTGAATATAACAGAATGATTTACCAAGTTTTCAAGTAGATAAAAGACATTTTTTATGTGTCAATATCAATATTAAAAAGCCTTTTCTTTTAAAAACACAGCAGAGAGAAGCTAGAAGAGAGCGTGTGTGTGTGTGCGTGTGTTACCTCAGTTCGAGCTGTAACCTGTGGCTCCTCTCTTGCAACAACTCTTTAACAGGAAAAAGTGCCGAGCCCAACAAATACATCTAAAGAGACAGAAACACAATATTGATTAGTTCACGTTCAGCTATTTCCTCATCTCTTCTTATCAGGTGTGAACTCCAGAGAACAGATGTCGAGTCAGTGTTTATCTTTGCTGAGCTGCAAAAAGTCCAACTTAAGCAAAGCGTCTCACCTAAACTCAGAGTGAAATAACAAAACATAAAAGCTAAACGCCGTCTGAATAAAGAGCCGTCTCTCTGAACCGTACCGTGCCCTGCGAGCGGTCCTTGACGTCGTAGACGGCCACCTTCACCTGCGTCTGCTGGTTGATGTTGGACTCCTGGAAGAAGGCGATGCTGCTGAGGAAGATGGGGTTACTGGTGCCCTGTGGACAAACCGGTCACACCAGCATTACTTCAAGACCAGGTCTTTAGGGTTCTGCTCTGTGCTCAGACTAAACAAGCAATTGGACAACAGCAACTTAGGGTTCAGCGAATTATACAGACAATGTTCTGACATTTCATCGGTTCATTATTAAAGCAATATCTTTCATGACTCATCCTGCGCGTCTACAGAAAAAGCTTCACAGTTAAATGAAGCGACCGGCGGAGCAAACTGCACTTGTTCTCGTTTATGGTAATGGCTCGTTGTTTATCAGTTGGATAAACCTTTCCAAAAGTGAGTGGTTGCAGCTCAATTTATTCATTTCTCCCTCGTCCTCCGCCCTCCTGATCTACAGTAACAACGTAGAGGAGGGAGGCGTAGGTGGAGACAAACACACTGTTGCGTGATTGAAACAAATCCCTGATGAATTTCATCAAATCCATCTCAAAATGACACGTGTTTAACCTGTAAATGTGTCACATGATGGACTCTCTAACTGCCATAACACTGTGACTTTAAGGGTCAGGAGTCGAGAGAGTCTGACCTCGATGACTTCGGTCTGGGCGTGTTTGGTCCAGAAGGCCTGCGGTGGTGTCGTGCAGCTCACTGCTACAAAGCTGTTGGGTTTTCGATCCAGAGCAGGAGTCAGCAGGTCTGTGCAGGCTGGATGAGAAACACGAAATGAGCCAAGAGGCATGACAAATACCCAATGCTGTAGGAAGATTATATGTGCAGTATTCTTCCCTTTTGGACTAGAAAATATGATAAATAGACATTTCAAAGACATTAAATGATGAACTGGTGATAATAACAATAATCGTCGAGTCTCTCATTAGCTAAAAGACTAAACTGTGTTACTCACCCACACTGAACTCAAGCACAGGCTCATCTGGGTCCTGACTGTTTCCTGGAAACCAACCAACAAGTCACAACAACATGAGATGTAAAAGAAAACAACTACAGCGTGCTGTGGTGGACAAAAAGCCCTGCACACTGAGCTTCTAAAATGGTGCTTAAAGCCTCTAAAATGGTATTTACACGGGAAACATCTAATTTATATAAAGAATCAGATGTTCCTCACCTGCGAGAGCCAAGCCGATCATCTCGCTGGACAGCTCGAATGTGTTGGCCCGGTACACCGACCACGGCCTCTGTATGCGGGAGCCGCGCTCGCCGCGCTCTCGGACCCCCGCCATGCCTGTCTGGGACGAGCGGGCGACGGCAGGAGGCCTGAAGACACACCCTCACACACACCGTCACACACTCCCATGTGAGGTGACCCTCTTTCTGCGTAGATCCACGGCTGCTCCAGAAAGTCGGTCGTCCTCTCTGGATGAGAAATGACAGGTTGGATTGAGACGACATGAAGTAAAACGATCTTTAGCCTCAGCTAAAGAACTTTAATGAATCAAGCAGGAACAACCAATGCATCAAGCTAAACAGTACAAACGTGGAGCTACAAGGTTTTAGTGAAGAGGAAACCAATTTTCTAGGATTCCTTTTCATCTTCCGTGCTCATTCAAGAGCCCGAAATTTCAGATATTGCAAATATATGTTGCATGCATGCACAAAGGAAAATCCAGTATCAGTCAGCAGTAGTGCTAGTTATAGTAGTCAAAGAGGTGGAAAGCCTTGTTTATGGCTATTTGTGACACAAAACAAATGATGTTCACCAAGTGCTACAAAAAAAAGAGGAAATCTTGCGGCTGAAAAGGGCGAAAAACACAAAAACTTGCATGTTTGAATTGTAATGAATTCATGTGCCATGTGAACATGTTTCACATGTGAACGTGTGAAAAGGAAAGCAATGAGGAGAAGAGAAATAAGGAACAAAGAACAGAAAGTGAGACCGGGTATAAAACTAAGCTTCAACCGCAACGCATGAAGGCAAACAATCTGTATTCACATTCACCTCCTACACAGTCTGCAGTATCTTACTGTCGCATCTCAAAGGAAAGAGAAAAGAAAGAGTAGAACTTGTGGTCAGTTTTAATCACTGTAATGAATCACTGTAATGAGTCTAAAGCTCAATCATCAGTGTCAAACAAGTTAAAACACTCGTTACCAGACCGACAGCTTCTCCATATATGACTGTTTGAGTCAATGTTCATTCAACTGTGCTGTGTGTTCACATTTTACAACAATTAGAATGTTTTGGAGAACATGAACGTAAAAATAAAGTTTTAAAATCCATCGTCCAGAGGTGCAAACATACATCTGGTGTTTTTATATACATAGATGTAAAGCGTGTATCTGTGGAACTGGAGAACACACAACAGTTGCTTGCTTTCAGCAGTGTGTTGATTTGCATCAGTGTGCGTCATCCCACATAGAAACTTATAAATTAGCATTTTATGTGCCTATTTATTCTCACCATATGACGATGTTGCTAAGAGACTGAAGGTTTGTCTTCAGGTCCTCCACATTTTATTGTATTTCTTCCTCCTCGTGTTCTTTCTCTTTCTCTCTCCTCTACCTCCTCCCTCTTGTTTTGGGTGTTGCTCCCCCAGATCTATCCCCTAACTGTTGCCCGCCCACCTGAATCTTTTCTCCTGAAGTCTTCTTTAGCCGGTGGAGAAGCAACTGTTCCACTCTCTCTATCGCTCCCTCTGTCCCATTTTGGTGAAGAGCAATTAGCCCATTTGCAGCAAGGCAGCAAACGCAAGGGACAGTAGCTGGCTGTGGTCTAGTTAACAATATGCTGGAGTCTATTCTGGTAGATTTATTATAGATAGATGTGTATCAATAATTCAGGTTTAGGTCATAGTTGTGAATGACAAAAAGCTGTGTTACCTGGTCATTTGTATTGAACAGCAGCTTACTTCCTGATTCTTTTAAACCTGCTCACTTTTATCTTTTACAGATAGAGTGATCTTATCTGAATTGTGGTTGTGGGTTAATAGTGGCCTACTTCCTGATATGTGGTCCACATACCGCTGACGTCTGCCCTATATCTGTCGATGCAAACATCTGGACCACTACTTGAAGTCCTTTCTGGATGGAGAATCTACCGGATTAACATGCGTTTGTTCCTGCCTTTATTTTCAACACATATTTTAAGTGGTAGACTCCTGCAATAAGTTTCATCATTGACATGTTTATATATTTAAAGAGGGATTACATAGGGATTTTATATTACAAAGTGTTGTGCTAAGCCTTAAAACACATGAATGTGTCACTGTAACTGGACTTCCTGGATTGTGTTTCATGCATCACATAAACACTTTGCACTGTTTCAACACAGCTCAAACCTCTGCAAACACAACTTTCTGTCACACCCGAACATCTCATTCCCAACACAACCACCGGGGAAAGATTAAGTGTAAGTCTTCTCTCTGCAAGTGACTCAGGTATGGAAACAAGAATGTCTTGAGCAGGCGACATGTCTGCTGTATGTCTGGAGGGAGTCGTTTGTGCGGTTATTCAATATTCATGTAACAACAACGTGAGCTTTGACAGCTCCACAGACACTCAGTCATCCGCCTGTGGGGCCTTTTAGCTGAGCTGAGTGTTGTGCTGATGAGCAGAGAGGCTAATATCAAGAGCTACAGTAGGAATGGAACTAGAGGCAAACACGTGCACATTTATAGCATTCGTGGCTCTGGTTCCTCTAATGTTAATATATAAGCTCCTGCTGAAATGCAAAGTCCTGCAGCAGGCAAAGACAGCTACTAAAACCTAAGGCAGGTTCAAACCCACAGTTGTTCTCCTTTTCAAGTACTTATAGTCCTTGTTTTGTTCCTGTGTGTCTACCTCAAACATGAACGCACTTCACAAAATGAGCAGGCTAGAAAGAACCTAGAAAGAACTTTCCAGCGTCTCGGCCAACTGGAGCTACATTTTCCACTAGCAAAGCCAAAAAAACACCTCGGTTCAAGAGGGGCTTAAGACGAGCTCTTGCTTATCAAAGGTGGTTTCTACACATCACGCCAACGTCCTGACTGTATTTAATGTTACAGGTCTGAGTACTGTCGGTACAATAAAGGAGGAATTTGACGTATTTGTGCATCATGTATATTCTGAAATCGATAAACCAACATATCTTTTCCTCTTAACCCTGAGAAACCACAATAACACCATCATTGTTCTATCCTGACCGGCAACAGATGACAGAAGCAACACCTCAACTTAATGAAGTCATTTGGCAGGCCTGGGGTATTTACTCTGTCTCCATAACAGTCCAGTGGTGCCAAAAGAAAGCACAGAAACCTCACTGAAGGGGAAAAGCCGCCATATAAGGGAGCTCCAAATTTAGCCTGGCATGTCAGTGAATGTGTGTGTGTGTAGGACTGTGAGTCACATGAATTGGGGCACACACACACATTGTTTAGGCCACAGTGAATCTGGTCCAGAGCTCCCGACACATAAAACCCGAATCCAGGATTCACAAAGTGGATTCTGGCTTATTGTTAGGAGTATAAACAGGCTTAAAGATCCATTAACTACAGCACTTATGGAGGGCTTTAAAAGGTGAATTTGACAAGTTTTATCCTAAAATTCCACAACAAAAAACACTCTAAAACATAAAGAATTCAGTCACCAAAGGACCTGAAATACTCAGTACCCTAATCTGGATAATTGCATTAGAAATGTTCTTGTTTTACGTATTTAGCCCGGAGTTTAGAAGACAAGACAAGCTTTACGAAGGTGAGCCATTAATAGCACAGACCTGCATGTAAGGCCATTAAATGTAAGCAGGGAGAGGATCTTGTAGTTTGTGATGGAAATGAGCTGAAGTACATCGTGTGATGTATGTGGGTGTGTTTGAAGCTTCTGTCTTAGATTCAAGACGGACTGGGTGAAGGAGGTGCGTGAGAGTGAGAGACTGGTTGACCATACATGGTGAAACCACCTTTTACAGCTTCTCCTTCGAGGCCTTTGGAGAGAAGGCATCACGCCACACGTGTGTGTGTGTGTGTGTGTGTGTTGGGCTCAATGATCATTTGCTTTATCTACTCACAGTCTATTGGAAGAAGGAGAAGAGGAAGTGAGCTGACAAGGTTCAGTGAGGACCGGCTAGCAGAAGTTCACAATCTGAAAAAACACGAAACGGCAGGTTTTACTTCTGAAAGTACAACTTGTGTGTTTCTGCACAATCCATACAAAAAGGTTAAGATTTAAGATTTGAACCAAAAGTTAACACCGCTTTCTAAAATTCATTACATGCTTGTTTTTGTGTGTTTGTCCACATCATTTTATCGTTGAGTAAATAAAAGTGGGACATTTGTTGGTTGGCCATTATCGCTTACTTTCTACCACAGTAACGAAACTAAAAATAAAGACGGACGCGTAATTCTGTCACGAACAGATTTACCCCCGTGTGGCTCTATAGAGCCAATAACAGAGGCGCTGTCTGTCCCTGTGTCTGTGTGTGTGTGTGTGTGTGTGTGTGTGTGTGTGTGTGTGTGTGTGT